TTTGCAAGTTACAAACAACTACACCCAGGAGATAAGATAGGGCTGACATCATTCTGTAAGCTACGTCCAAAGCAAGTACAAAAAATCTCTGAGACTAATCGGAGGACATGTCTTTGTCAGCCTTGTTGTAACGCTGCGCTCAAAGCAGAAGGTCTGAAGAAGTTTGCTGCAGAGTTCTGTAAAGACCAAACTGACCTTTATTTTCATCATATACTAATTTAATATTTTAGTTTTTTTCAGTTTCTTAACTGACCTCTTACATGGTAAATATTTGTTTTAGTTACTGTTGATATTGCCATGGCAATTTTGTGTTTACCGTGATTTTCTACTTAAATTCCGAAAAAAGTAAGTGTAAAATCATTCATATGTTATATTTCTGCATTAATAAGTTTTAAAGGAAATTACCTTGAAACACACACACACACGTGTATATTTATTTATATATTTTTAATTTTGTGTTAAGGTTCAAGATGTTGACAATGATGAGACTCAAGTTACGTTCATAGTCATCCATCCATCCATCCATCCATCCATCCAAGGTGGAAAACCCAAAACCTTTGCCAGTTGTCACTATGGGATGACCTTTCCTGAGTCTTTGGACATGTTTTTCTCGATGATCCATATCTGCTGCCAGGCATTAGCACAAACAGCCATGATTTATTTAAATTGACCCTAAAGACATTACAAATGAAAGAATACATTTAACTGTTTACCTGGAGTGCGGTGATTCTCCAAAAACTTCCTTTTTTTGTTTTATTTTTATTTCTTTTCAATTGTTGGATCTTTATTTTAATATTTTTCATTTGATATTGACACAAACAGCAGGAAAAAAATATATTATTTCAGTTATAAAAGCATCAGTTTCTTGAACGTGTAGTGTCCGTACCCCCTAATAATAGCCAAAGGGGTGTCATGTTAATTTGAACATAACACATTAACTAATTGTTGTTGTGCTCTACAATTTTGGGTTTTCATAGTTAAGATGTTATTCTTTTTGCCTGTTACAAAATAAAACACATGCATCAAAGCTGATTTTTCACTCAATGTGACCCCTATTTTGTACCCCTGATCGTGAAACAGCCGAAAAGGACAGAAATGTTGCGGGTGTAGATGGGAGAGATCCTATATGCAAATGTAGACTGAATTATATTAAAGATATGGCCTACAAAATGTTTATTACTCAAACAACTGACAAGTCTTTTAGGAAAAAAATGCATTTCTTCCATGAACAAAGCTAATAGAAATATAAGGACATACTATAAAAATAAATTTCAATCTTGTTAATAATATGTATATAGCAAAGACGGTTTGAAGCCTAATAAATATTACATGTACAAGTACGAGTAGTGTTTTATTTGATCTTTTATAAATTCATAAATACATTTATTAAACTCTATGTGAATTCAATCAATTCATAGCTACAATGTACACGAAAGTTGCTTTCATCACCGAATCTTTTTGGTAAAGTGACTTTTAAAAATCACCGTTGGCAAGTTCTTATACTTAAAATCTCCGTATCAGAGTAGAGTGATCAAAGTACAGTGAAGCCACCGCGCATTAAAGGTCAATTAACGCTTGGACGAACACTTAATTGCGACCACGCTCAGCTTCGATCTTTATCTCAGCGAGCTAGGGTTTGGCTCTTTTGTTAGCAGAAAGTTTGTCACGATAATTACCCGACGGGCAGGGCATGGTACTATTGTTAACAAAAACCAAACAGCGTATGGATGACAATGTTATTTCCATAGTTACCGAGCTAGGCCGTCCGTACAACCCACAGCGACCCGGTGGGTAAGTAAGGGGAATTTCCGGCGTCACTGTATATGCTACGTGTATCCTTTGTAGTACTGCTTTCTTCCGAGACTTCATGCAATTTGAGATAATTTTCTAGCGCCCAACATACACAAAACAAATTGTATGGCTTTGTTTTCGGGACAAAATAAGCTTTTTACCATATACAATATATTGGTATATTGACCAACTCTTATCATTACAGATGCTGCCTCGATCATGACCGCTGTTATGAAAAACTTATCAAAAGTGGTTGTCTTCATCCATCGTTAATCACTTACGACTGCACTCTAAGCGGAGGGATTGTTTGCAGTAAGATCTAGTCACATTCCGAAATATTTACTCAGGCACTGATGAGGCATATCTTTTAACTGTTGTCTGTCCTAGCAAATTGAGGCTAATCGTTAGTGGATACTAATATTAGAGATCCTGAATTGACGTCGGTGATTTGTAAATTATTCTTCTTGTGTGCCTACTGTTACTTAAATTTCGGACCAATACATTTAAATAAAATTCCGGGGTCTAACCTAAGAGCAAAGACAAAGACATTTTTGATACAGACCCTAAGAACTGTCTCATATACACCACAGTATTTTCAATTACAGATCGCAGTAGAAATGACCACTGTGAACAGGGAGGCTGTGAATGTGACAGAACAGCGGCGTATTGCTTCGCCAGGAACACCTACCACAATAAATACAAGAACTGGAAAGGAAGTTGTTTGACGCTTGACCAAGATCCTGGCTGCATATAGCTGTGTAACCGTGATGTTTCCTCAAAATATCTCAAACTTAAAGTTGTTTGAAGGAAAAAATATTCAATGGACAGTACAGATGCACGATTGTATTCCTTCCATATTTCGTGTTTACTATAATGTTGCACTCCTTGACGTATCTTAAACTTTTCGTGCTTGCAATGATGTTACTTTAAAATAAAAAGAAAAGATACGCCAATGCAGATTGATAGTACAAGTAGGGCGCTTGGAAAAAATCCAGATAGTATAAGAAGGTCAGCACAACAAGGAAGATTTTCTTTGCCCAAAAGTCCCCAAAAGATGCCACGTGAAACTAATAGATAGTTTTGTATAAAAGATGCCCAGCAAATTTTGTGCTTGGGTGACCAATCCCCATGTTATTTTGTGTTTAAATCTAGGACCAAGCCTGTACGGTCTAGCAAAAAAAGTTAATTAATAGACTTATAGAAAATGAAAAAAGGAAATTAAACAACCTTCAAACGTATGTCATTCCAACGTATTCCAAATTTGTTTTGTTAAATGGATTTTTAAGGCTAATGCGAAATGAATGAACATAATTCTGATAATGACAGGCCCGTAGCCAGGGGGGTTCGGGGGGTTCGAAAGAACCGCCCCTTTTGTCAGGAAAGGGTCCATTTTGGGTAAAATTTGATCTAGGTACACGTAAGTTTCATTGTAAAAGGTCCACTTTTTCAGAAAAAGAACCCCCCTTTTAAATTTGCTGGCTACGGGTCTGAATGATGTACGGTGTATCTAATAATCGGAACTAATAGTCACGTATAAGTCACATAAAGGACTCTGGCTATGTGTCAGAATAACCACATTATATGTACATCTGGAGGAAATACTCAAGAACAAATCCAGTATCAAAACAGATTTGAATTCCGTATTTGAATATATGTACATCTGGAGGAAATACTCAAGAACTAATCCAGTATCAAAACAGATTTGAATTCCGTATTTGAATAACAGATGTGAAAACATTACTTTTTTTATGAACATAAAGTTGTAATTACTAATTAATGAAGAATAATGATGGAAAAAAAAACATTTACAAACAGAGTGGGTACGCGTCAGAAGTGTTACACCATGTGTCTCATTTTCAAATCATTATAATAGCAAGTTTATCATTCATTACAACTGCCATCCGCCCTCCTGTCATTTCGCATATCACGTACGACAGAGAATCGGGATGGCATCGTTTTCACTTTGGAATAAAAACCGCGATTTTATTTCTAAGTGGGTCCAAATGACCAGAAGGCCAAAACGACATCAAGAATGCTTCAGATGAACTTTTACAACGTGGTTTAATGCCGATATTAAGGTCATGATTTGGAAAGATAAAAAAACTTGTGGCCATTTTGAGATGTTCGCAGAATACATGTAACATCCACCCACAGTGGTCACCTCTCAAAGCTTTTATTTCAAAAGATCTGAGAATTAAAGCTGTCTCAAGTTTAACTGAAATAATATGCTTGAATGAAATCCATAAAAACTCCAAAAACCATATCATTGTTACCTTTACATTTATCGATGTGAGTGACCTTTTAGTAATAACATTTACTTAAATTTACTTGAACGCTTACTTTCCTATGTTTAAAGCCTACTGCTCAAAATTAAATGTGACGTAATATATGAAAATAATGACATCCTGGTATTTGAAAAAGAAAATACCCATTGTTTGGCCCATATCAGCTCATTTTCATAACTGCCCAAGGAACATACAGGGTATATACAGGTATAGGCCTACATTTCGACCACGTTTGTTCATGACATGACATGATGTAAATCCTATTCACCACTAATTACACCCAGGGTTGACAGGAACATTAATACTTGAGTATTTAGACGAAAATGCACGTTTTTCCCCGCGAAACAATTTTCAAGGAAATAGTTGACTTGCTAATCTTTCCACGAAACGGTAAAATATATACACATAACAGTGAGACCCATGGAAATGAAAATGGCGGACTAGAGATGTCTCCTGTCCAAAATAAACTTCCCATCGAACAATTTGTTAAAGAAGGTGAGAAGATACAGGGGTATGTCCACCATGTAGCCCAACGTACTCTTTAATGGACTTACACACTCAATTTGGTATCCTCAGGTTTTTCTGGGGAAACTTAAATATGATACAGTAATCTGTGACAAAGATGAAATTTTGCATTCTGTCAAAAAAAGCCATTTTAATTACCCATATCATCACAATTACACAACGCCCAAAAGAAAGTGTATAAGGAAACATTTCTTCACTGCTTGTTCACGTAAACCTTATTTATCTTTAATTAGATCTAAGGTTGACAGGAATATCGAGACTAAACTCACGTCTTTCTCGCGAAATTCAAAAGGAAATACATGTAGTTAACTTACTTATCTTTCCACGAAACGGTAAAAATATGCACAATACAATGAGGACCATAAAAATGAAAGTGGCAGAGATGTCTCCTATCTATCCTCATTATACACTCTTGCCTTATATATTCTGCGCAGAAGTTGACTATCTTGTCTATTCGGCTGGTGCACCTTTCCACGGCATTGAAACGGGTAAATAACGCCGTCTCTCTCTCGGTTATATATTCATATAGGCAGTGGCACACGTTATATATAATAACGTGTAAACCTATCAATCTCTTTTCTCTCTTTCACTCTCGGTTATGTATTTCTTATTAGCGGCAGATCTAAAATATCATTGCACGCGCGCGCGCGTGGATGGGTAGGGGTTGTCATGTCCAGTAATTAAAAAAAAAAAAAACAGATAAACTAAATATGGTAACAACCATGTCTGATGGCTCTTATGTTATTGCAGCCTTATTTTTTATGTTTTCAGATTTACCAGAGACGATATCGGAAGAAGTAAGAGCATAAACGGATACTTTGAAATATGATGAAGACCACCTTGATCTTGTTTATACTGGGTAGGTATGGGTTTTTTCTCAATCAGACATTCGTTTTTCAAAGATGGTGTAAGACAAGTACTTGAAGTACGTGGGGTGAGGAACAAAGTCACTGAACACAAACCTTTGAAGGAGAAACACAGCGTGAATGGCATTATGGCATTTTCCAACATCGTCTGCATCTTCTCTTGTTGTGCATTTTCGCTAACCTAAAAGGAAATTTTTACTCATTATTTTCGAAAACACACAGGTGATTCATGTGCCGCCAACTTGAGTTCGAAAACCAGCATTAGTTAAACTTTTCGTAAAATTATGGCGTTTTTTGTAAAGTTGGTATTGTCAACGTGGGAAATTGAATTTTCATTGTCATGAAGTCTTTTGGTAGTTATATTTCCTTAATGCCCACAATGACAGTGGCAAATCATCAAAATTGATGGTGACAATGGTATTAACTATTATGTAACAATGCACCTAAACTGACCAAAAGCATAATCGGTGCACATTCATCATTAATTAGACAGAAAAAATGAAAACCGAGTAAGCGTTTTACCTATTATTATTTTCTACCGATTTCACTTTGGTGTGTGTGTGTGGATTTTTTTCACAAATTGTATTTTTTTCTGTGTGTGATTTTGAAATTCCGATACTGTTCTGTGCTAGTTTAAGTCACAAAAAGTAGGAAAACCAAGTTTTTTGTGTCATTTGTACTGCCGTGAACATTGCCCTCCTCCTGGATGCTGCAATGTTGGTACTCAGTTAGAATGGCACGTTGCCTATACTGTGTCAAACAATGCTACTTGTTAAAGTACAATGTAGGGGCGGATATAGGCCGTCTTCTGGGTCTTCCAGAAGACGGTCAGCTTTTCAAGTTTTCATTGATGGGTATCCAATTTTTTTCTGTTGGAAGACGGTCAAAAATGGAGTCTTGATCAACAAAGATAATTTGGAAGACTGTCAGAAAATATCTCTGGATCCGCCCCTGCAATGTTTACATCCGCCAATTTCTCCACTACACTTAGACTAACTAGCACAATTATAAATCACAGAAGCAGACCAACACTCCAATTACAGAGTACAAGTCTATCAGAAAGCAGGATCGGAGTTAGGATACTCATTTTTTATGAAGAAAACTACGTAATGTTTTAGCTTAAGATGAAAAAATGCATATTTCAAATCTTACCAGTGCAATCTGTATGTCGTTATGATGAAAACATCTTTATCTTCCGTGTACTGGTAGGTTTAGGGTAAAAGGAGAAAGAAACAAAAATCCCATGCATCTATACATGTAGTATACAATAGACCATTAAACTTCATGTCTCATGCTCTTTCCTTGCAGCTGCGTGCGCAGTCATTGCCTGTGTGTGCGAGGATAACGTGCATTCTCGCGAGAAGAGGAATTTTTTTCAGTTTGGCAGGATGATCAAGAGGCGTACGGGAAGATCTGCCCTGGATTATAACGGTTATGGTTGTTGGTGTGGTCTGGGAGGAAAAGGAACACCTAAAGACGGAGTGGACAGGTGAATATGATGAAAAATGTTATGGTTATTTTAAACATAGAGAGTTCCCTAGTTAGCAAGGAATAAGGCACATTTTGTGACTGATTATAATTTTTTCTTGACTGCAATAGATTAGATTTTAGCTCACAACTATTTCTGGACCATTGATTGACAATCTTAAATGACTGAGATTCTACCTGTAGATAAAATATCACCAAAACAATGATCACACAGTGATATTTTCTAGAAAATTTAAACTCCCAAAATTGTGTCTTGAGCTTTAAATATTTAATTTAGAGCCCCTTATCATAAAGGCTAAAAAAATATTTTAATTGGCAGCTATCATTATAATACACATGTCACGATGTGATAGGTTGGTCAACACAATCAGAGAATATCCGGAATCATGGTTTGGTTTAAGAGACTATAGCGCGGGACCTTGCCATGTTCTTCTTTTTGCGGTTTTGACATACATTGCACTGCTTGTAACTGCAGTATACAGTTTATCCTTCAATATACATAGACCAAATCTAATCATTACAGATGCTGCCGCGCCCATGACTACTGTTACGATAGACTTATCAAAAGCGGATGTCGCAGTCCAGTGTGGAACTCCTACAGATACACTCTGCGCTGGGGAATATATTGTTGTAAGTCCCATACATACGACTTCCTACTCATCAAATACAGAATTAGATCCTGATAGAAATCTCATGTAAATTACTGTATTGTATTACACTGTATTGTATTGTATTGTATTGCATTACACTGTATTGTATTGTTTTGTATTGTATTGTATTGTATTGTATTACACTGTATTGAATTGTATTGTATTGTACGTACATAACAGCGTGACCTGTAGACACGATACTTTTTTCAATTGCTTATTAAAAGTCAGTTATGTGTATACTACTAAAAGAGATCTAATAGCAAAATACAGATTTATTTTGACGAGGAATATAACGCTTACCGAAAAAGATATTCTACTGAGTTACGACACGGTATTTACAAATGCATCCTACCTGTTTCATAGAAGCTATTAACTTGGCTCCTAGCGTTTCCTAGCGTGGCAACAATTACCCATTTGTGTATGTCCACAACATTGATCCTGAGTCATAGGAACTATAACTGCTTAGACAAATATCGCGAAATCATTTGTACGTAGTGCCTGTGCTATTTTAGAGGTCTAAGAAAAAGGTCTAAGAAAAAGTTTTAAAAATTTATGACGCAGACCCCAGTACTTTTCGTGCAAATAAGGCTTTGTCATCGGCTCAACTCTGGTATTTCCGATTACAGATCGCGGAGGAAATGACCGCTGTGAACTGGGAGGGTGTAGATGTGACAGAACAGCGGCGTATTGCTTCGCCAGGAACACCTATCACAATAAGTACAAGAACTGGAAAGGAAGCTGTTAGATGATTGGCCACGTCTCTGGTTACTCTACATCCGGGCATTTACCTTGAATGTCTTACTCAATCTGAAAATAGACTTGAAAAGAACACAATTTAAAATATTGCGCTTCCCATTTACGGTATAGTGTTTATGTATACTCTAATTTTGTGGTATAAATTATATAAAAATATATCCTGCTGAAATGTCACGAACCATTTGAAATGGAATTTTGGATAGAGTAATGAAGCAATTTTAATAAACTTCTCAGAGCAACTTCAGTTTTATGCGCCTTTAATTCCGTCCAAGAAAGTAAATGAGTAGGATTTCAACATTATTTCTCCCCATTTTAGTTCGGGGTGTGGGGCGGGCGGGAGAAGTGGGGTACATTTATTGGACTCTTTCAATTCTGCTTTATTTGTATGTCACGCATTGCGCCATGGTAGCCGTAAGTCTACTCGGAGACAAGGATTTTCTCGTTTGCTTATGTCTCTGACTCATCTACGAAGTGCATCTCTGTATGACTGATATTTTAGGACGTACTTGTTGTTTTTCTCGCGAAATAAATCTAAAGGAAACAGTAAACCCAGTATTTTTACCAAGAAACAGTAAATATAGGCACAGAACAATGGGGCCCATGGACGTGTAGAGATCAACCAAGGAGATAGGAGATGTCTCAGGTGTCTGTCCATCATGTTCTCGTGGCTTTATATACTCTGTACATGTACTGTCTATAGCAAACTGTTCAGCTGGCGCACCTTGCCGAAGACACAGGTAAATTACGAGGTCATCTCTCTCTCTCTCTCTCTCTCTCTCTCTGTGTGTGTGTGTGTGTGTGTATGTGTGTTTTTTTAATCACAGGCAGATTCAAGATATTGCTATGCATTACTCGAGGAATATTTGGTAACTGTTTATTTATCATTACTAACATACTACTGTACATGTAGGTTATCACAGGAGCTTTGGCAATTTACGCAGTTGAACTGAGATGATGCTCATATAATTTTCGAAACATTCCATAATCTTAAGCAAGAATGTAATTATCAAGTGTGTAGGTGTGAGTGTGAATTGGAGGAGGGGGTCGTATCATCGCCTTATTTAATTAAAAGAGTGACAAAATAGATACGGCAATGAGGTAATTAACGAAAATTTTCATTTTTTGACAGATTTTAACGAAATTCTTTAATGACAGACATCCTTGTTCTTTTATTTGCTGTATGTTTTCATGTTTACCAGGTACAACAGTATTGTCGTTACTCGGAAGTACTAAAACAGTGCAATTGAAGTAGGATGAAGACCACTCTGATCTTGATTATTGCAGGTAGGCATTTTTTAAAATTAATATGACGTTTTGTTAGCTACAATTGATGTCATAGCGCAGAAAACATATACAAGGAACTTTCCTGTACAATGGCTAGCATCAGCTCATTGTTTTCTTTGGTATGGGACTATATCCCGCGACTAGTGTTCAATCATAGAACGTTAGGATATAATAGAACATTTAAATATTGTCCAATGTTATATAAGTAAACTCAGTGTCACTACACCGACTGTTACCCGGTTAGCCTACGTTTTTAAAGATATGTTAGTATAACATAAAATCCGCTACCGATTTTCAGGAGCGTGGACCTGCACGTGCACAAATATCGCTCTTTCTCGCGTGAAGAGGGACTATAGCCAACTTGCCGCAATGATAGCCCACACGACGGGAAGAGCTGGCTTAGATTATTACGGCTATGGCTGCTGGTGCGGACTGGTAGGCAGGGGGCAGCCGAAAGACGGAGTGGACAGGTATGGTGAAGTTTATTATAGGCACACGTTTGTGGACAGGTACGATGGATTTCCATTAATAGTATAAGTTTGTACCCGCATGGTGTGACTGTCAAATTCGCAGAGCAGAAAATAACACAACTCAAGGGAATAGCCCTTTTCTAATGTACTTCCTTGTCTAACTCTAAGGTACTATGCAGGTTGCAATCATTCTTTCGTTGAAAATAAACCTGCAATTTTTCAATAATAAAGAAACTTTGCCTGGATAACCCGGTTGTGGCCCGTACCACTACATGTAGTGTGTGTGTGTGACTGTGTATATATATATCACTGTACACTTGCAGGTGTTGTCAAACGTTAGCCAGGTGCTATGAAGCTCTGTCCAGGAAATGGTGTCTTCTACCAATTTGGCAAACCTACAACTTTTACCTGAAGACTGGGATCGTGTGCGGTATGTTGACTTGCTTGTCTCTTAAAGTTTACCGGTACTAACTTAAACTTACTCCGTCTTACGGGGTTAAAGCAATTTCCTACCAAAAGAACGATTTTAGTGAAGGCAATGTATTAAACCCATTAAATCAACATAAACATGTGTGATAACACGAAAAGTTTCCCACGCAACGAGTATTAGAAGATAAAAGTAGTCCTGAATGCGCGTGTTGACACCATAAGCTGCCATTATATACATGTACAAAGCAACTCTGAATGGATTCTACCACTTCATGTATGCATCCTCCTTGAATCATCGCTTCTCGACGTCTGAACAGATTCTTTTTACTGATCCTTCCTATACACCAATAGATAGATAGATAGCTAGATAGATAGATAGATAGATAGATGGATGGATAGATGGACAGATAGATGGATAGATGGATAGATAGATGGATGGATAGATGGATAGATAGATAGATAGATAGATAGACAGACAGACAGACAGACAGATAGATAGATAGTTAGAGAGATAGACAGACAGACAGATAGATAGATAGATAGATAGATAGATAGATAGATAGATAGAAGGCACATGGCAGGATAGATAAATGGTCCATGTAGTTTCTCAGTAGTGAGATGCCAAGCATACGTTTATGTGCATATCCAGTCTGCGAACACCTATAGGTTTGAAAACTCCTTCTTTGGAAATGATCATCAAAAAGGAAAACATAAAATATTGTGTTTGATTAATACATATATGTTTTTTTTATTATTTCAGACGGCAACAAAAACAATCGCTGTGAACAAGGAACCTGTGAATGTGACAAGGCAGCAGCTGATTGCGCCGCTCGGCACACCTACCACAACCAGTACAAGAACTGGATGGGGATTTGTTAAAATTAATACGAAATATTATTGACATCTTTGTTAAATATAGATACCGGATAATTTGTTGTAATTTTCCGTAGTATTCAACTCTTCATGTTGATGTAACTCCATGTTTCTCGTAAGATTGTATGAAATAAAACAAACATGTTGGACAATGAAAATGGAATACTTTCTTTTTACACCAAGGTCACCCGTCTTCACTCATTTAAGCGTATTTATAAGCTAAATGACTAGACGCCAACATTATAGAAATGTTTCTTAAACTATTTCCTTCATCAACCACATTTCCTCATTTGTTTTTTTAAGCGCTGGCTTCGGTTTGGAATCCACATACATTTATGGTCAGTACCTTAAGTAGACTATGGGGAAATAACATCACTGGTGACCAGGCAATTAACATACCCTGTGTATTACCTGTGTTTTACCTATGTACACCTGGTAAGAAGACTCCGTGGGCACTGCTATACTAATAGGATAGGATACACAGCTATACACACATCCTTAATCATCACGTCACATTACTCGTAGCCACTCGGTGAATAATTGCTGTGTTTTATTTCACTTAAATTCTAAGAATAATCCACAAAATGTTGGGCTAGGCAGCTTAATGGATGATATGACAAAACAAGGTCCGGTTACAAATGGTGGATCTAATGAAGGTTCGGTGAATACATAACTGCGGTGAACATCACGTTGTCCCGCTGAGTGATATAAATGTGCCAATCTACACTGCGCTTTAATTGACATAAAATTAAAATTACAGTAAGTGAGCTCAAAGACCGAGAGAAATGAAAACAGCATTGACGATATTCACTATAGGTAAGTTAGTGTGGAAAACAATTGGTGTTGACTTCTTCAGTCTCATTATTAGATTTTTTAATTAAACTTATTGACCGTTTGATTTATCATTGTTTAATAATAATAATAATAATAATAATAATAATAATAATAATAATGAGATATTTTTACCAGCACTGTCGTCTCAGCGTTGTGTACCATATGGTGGTTAATTAATCAAACTAGTTCGAAAATGTACAAGTACCTTCTAAAATTACGAATTAATCTTAATCCTAAAGCATGCAAACTGAAATCACCAGTTCCTAGGGGAGTACTTAGAATAAGTAAAATGAAACTACATTGTCGTTTGAGGTGTAAGTATTTTTATTCCAATGTGTGCAACATAATATAAGTCAATTTCAGTGTTGAAAGATAAACCATAATGTTGTTTAAAAGTTAAGTTTTAAGATTTGTTTTTAAAATGACAAGAACCAGTGAAACAGCTGAACACATGTGCAGCGGCCGCTCACTCCAGATACTACGGACTGTGATGGTAAAGACACAGCGGTCTTTATGATACTAGTGTTTTACATCATTTAAACTGAAGAAATATAAACTGAAGAAAAGGTTGACACTGAAAAAACTGAACATGCGTGATTAAGTGGGGCTAAATATAAGCAAAATAAGTGTGTGTGCGTGAGAGAGAGAGAGAGAGAGAGAGAGAGAGAGAGAGAGAGAGAGTTTTATACTTTTTATTGTCTTGCAGCATTACGGAATTATTTTATTATTTGCAGCGTTTGGTGCATGCTTCCTGTACATCAGCCTGACTCGTGGTGAAGTTCACCCTCGTCCAAAGAGAAACGTGTTCCAGTTTGCTACTATGATCATAGCAACCACAGGGAGGAATCCCTTTGACTACAACGGCTACGGCTGCTGGTGTGGTCTGGGGGGGAAGGGAAAACCCAAGGACGAGGTGGACAGGTGAGAGAGAGAGAGAGACAGCGTGTTCGTGTGTGTGTGTGTGTGTGTGTGAGAGAGAGAGAGAGAGAGAGTGCGTGTGTGTGTGTGTGTGTGTGTGTGTGTGTGTGTGAGAGAGAGAGAGAGAGTGCGTGTCCGTGTGTGTGTGTGTGTGTGTGATAGAGGGAAAGAGAGAGAGAGAGTGCGTGTCCGTAAGTGTGTGTGTGATAGAGAGAAAGAGAGAGAGACACAGGTGGGAGAGAGAGACATTGTTTATTATTTTGGCTATTCGGTGCCATTAACAATTATTTTCCTTCAAGGTGTTGTCAGGTCCATGACTACTGCTACAAGGCGCTGTATGACCGGGGATGTTTTAGTCCTGTGTTGAACGGGTATAAGTACACGCTGGAAGAGAACATCATCTGTCGTAAGTTACCTTATTCTGCTCCCGTTAGCTAGGAAATGGTTCTGTTCATCACACGTGTATCACACCTGGCACTGGGACTGGCAAACCTGGATGCCAATTGTTTGCTGTGTAAATTCTTACCTTCATGTTGCTTTCTCCGATTGTCGGATCGCCATTACACATAGCTTGTCAAGGTTTTGCACAAATTTAGATATAAGGGCAAACGTAAGAAAATAAATTCTGTTTTTATAAACTTATCCCCATTTCCTCGAAATCATTTGTCTTGCACATTGCTTATCTTGCTTGTGATATTTATCTTTTGTCATTCGATATGCTAATTTCACGGGAGACTGTAAATTCAACCTAACACACCTGCAAGATATCTCACACCTTGATTAGATGGCAACATAAACAATATGAAATGAAAGGAGGTTATCAGCTGTGCATACACCCACGTGTCCCTCCCCCCCTCCCTGTATTCTCTACCGGCTACTTCTACGCAAACGTGCCCCACTCACCTTCCCACTCGTGCTCCCCTTCCTACTCCTCAGCTAAATCCTGGATTAGACACTGTGTATTAAATATTGGATCCCTTTCTCTTTCAGTTAAGGACAAAAACGACGATTGTGAGCAGGGAGGGTGTGAATGCGACAGAGAAGCAGCGCATTGCTTCGGCAATAACACCTACCACAAACAATACAAGCGATGGCCACAGAGACGTTGCTAATGCTGCACACAGACAAGACAAGACCAACAGGGCGTCCTGTCCGCGGAAAGACGTTATGAATTATCTCGCATTTTGCTCTAAATTATTGTTCAGTGTGTATTATTTAAAATAAAATATAACTTCAAAATAAGATAAAACGCTCTTTTTTTTTTACAAATATTTTGTATTTTGGGAAAGTTTTGTAAGATAACAAAATGTGGTGAAGTATCCCTAAAATTGGGTACAAATGGTAACCCATTTGTGACCTATTCTGAAAATTTAAGTAAAAAAAAATCAAAATCCATCGATAACTTTTTGATTTAGGCTGCTGTTGAACAGACAGACACACAAAACGAAACCAAAAAACATAAAAGTATCAAGGAAGCAGCAATAATGGTGGTGGCCATACTTTAGTACTCTATTTCTATCCTTATGCCCGCGACCAGGAAAATTTTTTTAGGACAACATTTTTTCAGAGTGTGTGTATTTAGTGGTCCGATATGGCTATTTTTTTTTTTTTTTTTTTTTTTATAAATTTTCGATTTGATTTTTTTTTTTTGAAATGTAACTGTTACATGATGATTCTGACAAAATCAAGGTGTCGTTATATCTAAAATTCAGGCTTATCAAAATTTTTATGAGGACCATAACATCCTGACTCGGACCCCCCCAAATTGGGAAAATGGTGGCCCGAATGGTCAGTAAGCTTAAAACGTTTCTGGCACAGACTGGCAAGAATTCTTGCATAAGGCGGTGTCTAGATTCGTTTCAAATAAATGTTTTTAGACAACTCTGGGATTTAAACTGTTTGATTTTTCCAGCTTGCCATGTAATGCCTAGCCCCCCCCCTCTCTCTCTCTCTCTCTCTCTCTCTCTCTCTCTCTCTCTCTCGTTTACTCATTGCCAATCAAATCCTATGCAAACCGCTGTCCTTACCGGGGTCATGTATACACAGCACGTGTACACAAACCCACATCTCGCACAGAGACGAGACCAGGGACCACAGCCATCTTGATAGCTGTAGTTATTGGAGCTGGATTAATGCAGGACAGTGAAGCGCGCGGTGCTGGAATACCCCAGCTTCAGTGAAATGGTAGACAGATGATATTTGTAAAATAAAATAAAATAAAATAAAATAAAATAAAATAAAATAAAAAGAAGATGATTACATGAATTTAAAAAAAACTTAATAGAAAAACACTAACCGATTAAGGACTGACATGCATCAGAAAACAAAACATTTAAGGTACTACGGGTTAAACTGCCTCAGTGTATGCCTTATGCTCTAATTCTGCTACTATCAATGCTACATTATGACATCATGACGAACGCTCACACACATAGTTATCAGTTAGGACCGGGCCTTTCATCTTGCGCAATCATCTCTACCTGACCTCGCGCTCCTTCTGATAAGTAAATTTGCCGTCAACAGCGCCTCTAAAACTTCCTGATCCAGGTGAACCAACAAGGAAGACCCTATGGCGTGGTCACGCGTCATCTTTTGTTTTGTCGGGGTGGCTTTGACACAACTAGCTGATGGTCAAACACAAGTTTCTAATGATCTCCTTTTTCCGTACGGCAATGCCAGCGGAGATAGTGTGGTGCCTGTTAACGATGACGGGAGCTCGGAAGAAATTCAACTTCAGATTATCTTTCCTTATTTTGATCGTCCGCATTCATCCTTGTATGTAAGTAGATTGCTCAGGAGTAATACATTATTTTGTAGTAATTACTGATATTTAAGTTGATTGTATGCTTGTATGTATGTAAGTAGTAATAACCGATATTTACCGGGGTATACCGATATTTAAAAGGGGATTAAGATATCAGTATGGTTTTTGCCATTTGCAAACTTTGGTTACAATTAATACCAAAGTGAAAGAAACATACGCCGCTGTGAAAATGTATTTCAACATGCTTTATGTCCATTTTATTTATGTGACCATTAAATTATAATAACTGCATAACCATATATTACTTGCTAATTATTCTCAAAAAAGTAGCAAATTTCAACATTTAATTTGGACTCCGAAAGAAAGGCCAGGGAATAACATGTCATGTGCTATGAAAATCTGCCAAACTGTTATGTTTTGTTACTTCGTAGGACCGTATATATGATCTTCACCATAGTTAGGAGATAAGCCGTATAAAACACCATTTCCATTTGTTTTGATTTTTTTGTGACAAATAGCTTAATGTATCTACAAATTTCTTAAGTCATATTAAAATTATATTTACCTGTGGAAAATACACAACACAACGTGAAATTGAAAAATAACTAAATTTGTTTAACTACACATTTCCCACCAATCACGTAGCGCTGTCTCCAAAATAATTGACATTTTACAGTTAATTGATAAGATAACCGTGATAAGCACGTAGACTATTCTGTATCTCAAAGTTTAAAGAGGCAGAATATGGCAGTGTAAATATAATGAAAAGATACTTTATCAAAACATTTTAGTCTGTGGTGATATTTCAAACCCAACTGTTCAGTCTAAAAAGCTGTGTAAAACAATACATTTTGCACAGCATTTTATCTTTTAAAAGCTAAGTTAAAACGGTGTACACATTCCTTCTTCATACCTGTAAACAAGACAATGATCTGTGAAAATGTACAGAGACAAATAATGATAATATCATACATATTTAACTATAAGTTACACAAATAAACAAATCATCCAACTTTCAAGCACACTGAAATTAATCTTATCTGTGAGATATAATCCATTAACTCTACTCAGTGGGAGCACCTAACTGTTATTTTCCATTCTGGTAAAAAGAAATTTCTTTTGTGTTGGAAATAATAGCATTTCCTGGAAGAAACTGAAAAAAGCTATAGGGCTTTGATTCTCAATCAAATGAAAAGAAGCCTATTTTAGTCTGAAAAATGAGCTGTCACAGTATTATCCTAATTTCTAGTTGTTGTTGGCCACTCACCAGGGTGAAGTAGCACGGGTTGTCTGATGTATCACGTTTGATGTGACAAATTACCAAAGGTCGGGTCTTATCGTTATTGAGGTTCGCGGGGACAAAATACATTGGTTTTATCTGGGCCATTTACACATCTTTTACTGGATCTACCGCCCTAATTAGATTGCGTTTAGTCAATAAGTGAAAAAGTTGGCTGCAATTCTTTATACATGAATACGCGATTTTAAGTGTGAGGGTTTTGTTAAAACCCGGCTTTTCACGCATTTTTGGGTAATCGCACATTATTTGAGATTCGTGGCACACCAGGAGAGCCCAATAAGGTTGCTTTCACAACCAGTTGGTCCGTTGTCTAACCAGTCCGCGGATCAAATATGGCGCGCATTTGACAATGGATTACCGCCACCCACCTGCGCAGTCCTTTCAGGGGCAGAATAATTAAATCACGGCATGCTTTCAAGCACCATACTTGTTCCGAGAACTAGTTAATCCGCGAAACAACTGGTTGTGAACTTGGTGTAAGTATCATAGTGTAAACGAAACTTTAAGTAGTATAGCCAACTGTTGTCAAGCCGTGTCCAGATTCTAGTGTATTGGAGTGCGCATTAAGGGCTTTCGTAAAGTGTGCACACGCTGTCATTTTAGATAAAGATAAAACTTATTTATCAAATTTAATGAATAAGTACAATGATATGAACCATGCCGAAGTCCCAAAGGTAAAGACTTAAGGTTATCCAAACGACACAGCCGTGACGCTAGCCTTGTTATAAATACAACCTCATTCAAAAATAAATTTCATATATCTTACATTAAACTATTTATATTGACTTTGCACTTTGACCAGTCAAAATTAGAAAGTTATGCACCAAGAATGGAAAACTGTATTGGAGCGTAGCATGCACAAAAATTCAGTGGCCGTTCCTTATTATTTGCACAAACCACCGAAATAATTATATACATGTGCATGATCTTTTAGACAAGTTTACGATTAATTTCATGAGACGAAATTTGTCATAACTGTTGTGATGACAGCTAAGTAATATAACCAGAGACACATTATATTGGAAACCACTGTCTTAGTTCCTGTCCCGATATTGGTCTTATTTCAGTTCAACAGGAACCTGTTCCACAAAAAGAATTATATGGTCCGAAAATTGGTCTTTAGACCAGGGTACTTTATTCCAGCACATCGCAGTAGTACTGGTAATTCCATCACCAAGCAGAGAACATGTATTTCGCTTTTTCTATAAAAAGAAAGGCATTGCCAATGATTCAGTGCAATAATTATTACATTTGTTACTACTATTGATTCATTTTGAACCGAAATAGCACAAATGTTGGGTCCCAAAGTTTAGAAAAAAAATGGGCTGAAGTTCTTTCATTATACCATGATTTCAGGTGAACACCAATGGTGCCATATCATTTCTGCAGCCTATCAATAGGTACACGCCCACTCCTTTTCCACTCCACAATTCACTGAGAATGGTTGCTCCTTTCTGGACCGACGTGGACACCACAAGAAACACAGGTCGTGTCTTCTACAGGGAGGTTACATCAACAACAGACCCGGGACTAATGCAAAGAGTTAACGTAATCATACATAATGCCTTCCCAGCCGTTCGAAAGCTGTCGGCCACGTGGGCATTTGTTGCCACGTGGAACAATGTCACATATTTCGGTGGGGATCGATATACTCCTGTGAGTGTTTCCTTTTTCCTTTTTCTCTAGGTAGATATTGTTACTATTTTTCTCCGTCTTTCACTTGACTCAACCGTTCCCCTTATCCCGGCACACTTTCAGTACTTCTGTATCCCAAATGATTTCTCGTTCCCCATCCATTGAATGTTTCCCCTGGCACTGTTCAAAAACCTCTTCACCTTAGTGGCATATACTTTAATTTTAGACAAACACATTCCAAGCAGTGTTGGCGACCAATGGGAGACACTCGTTTGCCATCTTCAACTACGCTCAGATAACCTGGACAACTGGAACTGCTAGTGGCGGGGACAGAAGTACCGGTCTGGGAGGCACACCAGCACAGGTATGTACATCTCCATCTCTCTTTCAAAAGCTCTGTGCAGTGTTAGCTTAATTTTCGACTTTGTCGAAACAACCTGGACAACTAGAACTGGATGGAGAAAGCAGAAGCGGCGTGGAGGCACGATCAGGTACGATCCTCTGTCATCACTCAGATATGTGCCCTTTGATATGTCATCCCACCTAAAGTGAAGGAGACGCTGGTCATAGTAGTCAGAATAGATATGTCATAACTTCTTCCCATGGCCCATCTGAGATTTTGCAGTTGAAGTGGAAACTACATGTAGATTAAAAACAATGTTAGTTGCCCTTTTTACGTTGAATGTTTGTGTGTAAAAAGCATTTTCAAACACCGAAGAGGGCGCCATGTGTCCCTTAAACCGAGGTAACTGTAATGGTACTGTACATAGGCAAAAAATACAAACTCTTCAGTAATACAAAGCCAACTTTGTAACTTCAGGCTGGTTTCGACTCCGGTGATGGTGAAAACTACTTTGCGATGAAGGAATCTCGCACGGACGCCATAGTTAACATCTCCAGCACTAGTAGTGTCCAGACTCCCGGACGCTGGGTGTTCCAAATAGACAAGACTAAAGTGGAGAAAGGAGGGTGCAATACAGAGGGTAAATAGACAAAGCTAAAGTGGAGAAAGGAGGGTGCAATACAGAGGGTAAATAGACAAAGCTAAAGTGAAGAAAGGAGGGTGCAATACAGAGGGTAAATAAACAAAGCTAAAGTGGAGAAAGGAGGGTGCAATACAGAGGGTAAATAGACAAAGCTAAAGTGGAGAAAGGGGGTGCAATACGGAAGGGTAAATAGGTGCAAGTCTTTTTTGACACAAACGACTCATGGTGCATCGCCAGTCTTTAAATAGTCATGTCAGTCTTAAGGTGCGCTGTACGTCTGTTTGGCAGCCTTTCTATCCGCTGTTTGTCAGCCAGCTGTCTGTCTTCACACCATGCCTTTATCTTCCAGGCACCTTGGTGATTTCTCCCGTCAGAGGAAACATTCTCGGAGGAGAGGAGATCTTGCTCTCTGGGCCTTGTATGGATCCGGAAGTGCATGATATCAAATGTAAATTTGGTGACGTCACAGTGGAGGGAAAACACCACAAAGACATGACAGCCAAGTGTATTACACCGCCGCTCTTTGTCATGGGGAGAGCAGATGTACAGCTTTCCATCAATGGGGGCACCGATTTCACACATAGAGGATTTTTTATACCAGGTGATTTTTTTTCAATTGAAATATTGTTAATTAAAGGATTGACAGCAACGTATAACGAATGGCTGTGAAATTATAATCCGTTAAGTAGAGATAGAACTCAAGATGCTCAAATACTCAGAAAGTAGTTATGAAGCATTATTATTTTTGGACACAAGTGCATTAAATTTTAATAATATAAACTTTATCAGCATTCAGTGTGTCATTTTAGAATACAACGAGGCATTCTCTAAAGTCACACGTACTGACCATACAAAATGGCGCGAAAGTGGTCCATATTACATAGAATGGACGCCAGAGCAGGTTCTAGATGGTGCACAGAACGCAGAAACTGTGGACATAGATCTTCTTGCATTTGGGTAGGTGGTTAAGAATGAAAAATGTCGAATGTTATCGTCAAAGTAGCCATTAAGATCACCAAAAGAATTTGGGATAACATTTGTTAAAATATTACCACCTTAATTCTGTTCGCATATCTTGCAGATATTTTTACGTACTCTAGTATGCATCGTATTTGCTTTTCAAATGAACCAAAAAGCTATTGCAATATTTCAGGGAGCCGAAAGATGGCGCGATGGAAAAAAACTGGTATACATTGGCTAAGAAGGTACCAAACAACGGTAAATTTGACCTGGGCACGGTTGCCGTGAAATTCAGAAAGACAGAGTTTATTGGAGCTGTGCGTATAACACGGTCCCTCCCATACTCTAACACAGTCTCTTACCCAAACCCATGTCAAGGATTTGAGAAAGAACACAAGCAAGTATACAATTGGCATGAAAGAGAAAAAAATCTCGTTTTATCAACAGAATTAATTGCGGGCAATTTTAATTAATAACTTTTAATTTGGCAGAATTATAAAATAAGATTACTACGTATACCAATAATAAAAAAGGATAAAGCTTACAATAGTAAATAATTCATCGGGAAGTATCCAATTCGTCAATTGCAAGAAATGATAAACGTTAAACAGAACTCCGACCTAATCCTAATGCATGGTTTTCCCACCAGGTCGATATGCAGGAGGCCCGCCATATGGACAGATATCCACGTGCTTCAGTGGCACGCCTACAATCACCTAGCAACGGTACTGCAGGAGGGGAAGATCCCAAGCGGCTTTCTTAAAGAAACATTTTATCAAATACAACAACTCAATTTATTCGGCGGCACATGGGAAGATACTAAAAGGAACATCCACGAGCAGTCTCGTGCCATTAATTCCATCTGGTGTAGAAATTGGTACCAAAATGACAAATTCAAGTACGAAATATTGCCACAAGATCTCCCACCATGTCCCGTCACTTTACAGCAAGCCCTTCGAGACCGAGGCCGTTTCCATGCCGACCCAACATGTCACCGTGGAGACAACAACGGTTGTAACTTACATCCGGGAGCTTTCCATTGCGTCCGCTCAAATGAATGCAGGTGGGATCTCAAATAGTTTATTCAATTAAACAGTGGAATAAAAAAGAAATAAATAAGGCTGTAATCAAGTCTCTTCATCAAATGTTAATGATGGTATACAAAAAGAAAGAATTCACGTACCTTACATGCATTTGCTTGAAATATGAAAAAATAATAATTTTCAAAACTGGGAATTAATTGATTTCAATTATCTAGAATTGCATGTACCCTGTCATTTAAAGGCCGCTATTTTTCCTATACCAATTTCAGTGGATCGGGAGCCGGCCAACAATGCTGCTATGATCAGCAAGGCAATCTCCTTAATGTGGCCGATAATCACGGTGGAGGAACCATGGATATATCGTACTACAAGGGATGTCGTAATCCGGCCGTGGTGCCGTATATCAGTCACTTCTACACAGACTTACGTCCACACGCCTGGTGCTGTCACAGTTCTGGTGACAAGGCCCTGTGCTCTGAGACGTACATGGAGAGACGGCCCTCCCATGACGGCAGAGGGTACCAACCGCCCAGACCAGGTAGGAAGTACTGGCGGTTCCAGATCTGTGGGATTTGGGGATAGGGATCTTTGGGAGGATGGGAGTGTGGGGGGGGGGGCAGGAGACCTAATACTTCTGCACCAACAGATATTGGTGTCAAGTGAAATGCTTTGCTCTTGTTGTCCCCGTGAATTCCAAATTTGATTTTGTCCAATTTGAAATTGTTCTTAAATAGTCCATTTCGTATATTTATATTTTAGCCCCTTTGTTGTTTGGCATATTCATATTCTAAGTGGGTCATATCTTTTTCTATATAGGCTTAACGCTTATCTTTGAGCAATGACAATCAGTAACCGATTCACACATCATACGTTTACCTTGTCCTTAATTAGAAGTCCTACAGCAATAATAATTTAACCATAAAGTGATTATTGCTCATCATTATCAGTAATTTACACGGCCTCTTCACATTTTTTCAACGTATTGGCAGTTGATAATATAAACAGGCAGTGATTTCAATGATTAAAAATTCCAGCCACTGGCTTCGGCGACCCTCACGTGGTGACACTGGACGGGCTGAGCTACACGTTTAATGGGATAGGAGAGTACAGCCTTGTAGAGAGCACGAACCAGACGTTCACGTGCCAGGGGAGGACAAAACAAGTTGACGGACAGAACGGTGAGTGAAGCAAAGAGGATGACACCGAGTGCAAAAATAAGCTAATGTCTGGAATGTTTGGCCTCCATAGTATGCACTGTACCAACATGTATATATACGATTCATAAAATAAATGTAGCCTCTGATGTAAAGCGGAAAGAGACGTTGTCAAAATTGTCTATTACAAAGACTGCTCTTTACACTTGTTTACTTTTTTATTTCTGCAAAAGGAAGTGGAAGAAACCAATGTGACAGTCTTGTTTATATATGCTATTTTAGAATTTTGTGGTTTCCAAATTACATCACCTTGGGTTTTTCACAACATGATGGTCGATATATTATTAGCTTTGTAGATTACCAAGATAAACTTTGATACGTCAGTGACCCTCTTTCAATTTAACTCCAGGTGAGCAAGGCCTGGCCTCCGTGTGGACAGCACTGGCCATGCGCGGCCACAACACAAGCAGGGTCCAGGTATCTTATAGTAAACTTTGGGGGATGGAGGTGTTCGTAGATAACGACATGATTGACTTTGATGAAGTAGGAAACATTGTCCCTGGCATAGAAGGTAGGTCTGGGCCTGAGTTTGGTCAGTTGTTGGAGTGGTAACTTTGTTTTGTCTTGGAAATGGTAGTGAACGTCAGCTGATGGTTTGACATACACGGTAGTTCCTCTAAAAGGTAATTGAGGATGTTTAGAAACGTTAGCTGAATACTATTTTGAAGTAGAATACAGATGATAAAAACCATTAACTAGAACCGGTATTGCATGGCGTTCCATTCCTATAATTATTATCATCAATATTTATACATGATGTTTTTCAGGCATTGAAATCGAAAAGGTGGCCAACGAATCAAAAGCCTATATAAGTTTTGAGGATGAACAAGTATTTGTTGATGTGCAGATTGCAAACGGGGTTTTGAACTTTTTGCTCTACCTTCCCAATTATTTGAAGGGTACGTTGACGCTTTATACAATAATATATAACTACGAAAATTGATAATATACAGTTGTAAGCTGTTGCTTATTTTAGTTAACATAATGCTCACTTTATTTTTTTTTTAAAGTTAAATGTACTAATTTACATATCAAAGTTACGAAAGCAGTTAAGAAGCCGTTGTATTTAATTCAATTGAGGCGTAGATCCTTCATAACGACACGTTGTATTTGTTTCAGGGAACGTTAAAGGGCTCCTTGGCGTATGGAATGAAGACCCCGTAGATGACCTTCTCCCACGTGATGGACATGTGCTAAGCCCCAATGCATCACTTGAAGACATTCATTATAAATTTGGCGAAACGTGTACGTATTCGTCATCTTCATCCCAGTGATATCATGCTCCGACTGGTATATATCCATATATAATGATAGAAAAATAATAATAATAAACATTAAAAGATGATAATAATGATAAAGTGATATACCGGTATTATTTCTTTTACTTGATTATTTACAAAACAGCCTTTCCTTTGCAGGGCGCATCAGTGAAACGTCATCACTTTTCACTTACGGCATCGGTGAAAATTATGCGAGCCATCAAAATGAATCATTCGAACCCATGTTTGAACCTCCAAAACTCGAAAACGAGACTTTGCAGACCCAGATGGAGGCTGTGTGTGGGGAAAGCCTCGAGTGCATGTTTGATTTTACAATAACTGGAGGAAACGCTGAAATGGCCGCAGCGAGTAAAATGGTGATGGTTGAATATTCTGAAGCGGTCTCTGAAACTAAACCAGGTGAGCTAAAATTTTTATTAATAGGTAACGTATAACGAACAATGCAGAATACTTGTGATGATGGCTTCTTTCTGCAAATGATACACATGGATATTCCAATGCAATGTGATTCATGGATCCGTATTTTTATGAATGGTGGCTGAACATTAATATTTTAAAATAACCTTTTTTCACTCCTTAGATTTCATTTTGCTCTTCTATAAATATATATGTATTACTTCATTTTAATCAAAATTATATGTACCCGTGTTATTTCTTTCAATTAAATCTTATTGCAGTTATTACCTGTGGTTTTCTGGCAACATCTACCATTGTTACAAAAGACAACCTCTCCACCCTGGCGGGCACCATAGTGACCTTGACCTGCCCCGAAGGGTACGCCCTGATTGGCCAGAGTACCGTGAAGTGCAAGGATGATGGGACGTGGGACAGCTATGGCGACGCCAAGTGTAGGAAAGGTAGTTACAGTTATATCTGGACGGGGTTATAAATGTCCTTGTGTACTGTATTATTAACCGTTACGATGGTATGGGAGAGAGCTTTTTCTTATTCCAGTTGAAAACTTAACTCTTCTTTGATCACATTCAATCTTTCGATCTTCATGTCGTATCTAAAAGGGGTCTTGCTGACTATTAGACAAAGGGAAAAGCATTTCGAGGCAAATCGTAGGCATGCAAAGATGATTTCCTTACATTATGTATATAGAGAATACAAGTCAAGAATATGTAAAATGCACAGATTTTATGAAACTTGCTGTCTTTTCCAGCGAGTGAACTCAGCATGCTGACTACCATCGCCATCGCGGTCGGAGCAGCTCTGGGCGCCATTTTGTTGGTCATTTTTACTGTCGGCATTGTCTGCAAGGTACGGAAGAACAAGAATTCGAACAATAGAGAACCGCGCTCTTCACTTGGTCATGTAAACCAAATATACGAGACAACAGAGGACTACTGGAAATAAATAGCTCCACCGGTGACCTGTGGCACCTGCTAAACTGCCACTGCGTGTATTAATAATTACAATATGGCCATTTCTTTCAATATTTTAGCCTGTTGGGCCAAAGAACATGATCAAAACTTAATACGTTTATTAAGCCAACACTAATGCAAACAGTATTATTCATTATCATTATTAATATTATTTTTTTGTGAATGGCCTAAGGTAGAATGGAGTTATATTTTGACGTAATATTGAGCCTACTGACCGTGTGGTGAAAGTGGTTCATTGATCGAGTCACTTGGATCCCATACCTTGATTTATACGATATTAGGGAAACGTTCATTTGCTTAAAACACATGGCGAGATATATTGTTTTTATTTCCGGATCGATCGGGACATTAGCACGGGAGGTACAATCATTGCGTCATTAGGTATATTACAGGTTTTAATATATCCACAAATATGATCTTCAATCAGAAAGATGGAGTTTTTAGAAGCCATGTTTAGAATAGTTTAGAAACAGTTTAGAGGCCATGTCCTTTTTTAAAAATCAGTTACAAATTATCGTTGGATTTTAAGCACCAGCATTAGAGTAACGTTGTAGCACATTTACAAAATTCTGGTCACACGTGAAATTCTAGTATTAGTAGCATAACGAGGATAAGGCTTTTGGAACCAATTGTAAAGTGTGTTTAAGTCGTTGATAAATAAATTAATTGTGAGAAATATCTGCACAGTTGTCTGTCTCTTGTTGACGCACCACACATCAGTCGTGGTATGGGGTGTAATGATTTGGCTATAATGGTGTACGCAAGTTGGTAGCGGCCAACGGGAATCTTAACACGCGCCAATATATAGTACTAGAAAGGAACGTATAAAAATTTGAAGAATATCTCTGAGGACCGTGACCACCCAGTTCTTATTCAGTATGATAACGTTATTCCACAAACAGACAACGCAACAAACCCGAACTAATGAAGTGAGAACCAGATCCAGAACCACCAATGACCAGTTCAGTTTCAAGATCAGAGTATCATTGGCAATGTGAGGGATGTCAGAGAGGGGAATTCTGAGGGATTACCATGCAAACAAAAATTATTCCATGTCATCAATATACCGGGCGTGGATTACCATCCCTCAGAAAACTGTACAGAACCGTTTGACTCCATGTACAGGCGCCTGAGGTGCGTTCTCCAATCCAGATGATACTGTACAAATTACTAAGATTTCTTTCTATGCACAGTTTATTCATAAGTTTTACAACAAGTGAAATTCTGTGACAAAAACACTTCTAGAAGGTTATTAAACAGCCACTGGTCGATGACACTTCCATATCTGTTCTGGCGCCTATGACTCTCTCCTGATGGCCTTTTGCCCCCCCCCCCTACAAATACCTTTCCCCCTTGCCCTGTCCCTCATTCGATCCCCTCAAACGTCACTCATGTCCTCGTGTCTGTCTTTTCCTTGAATATTATTTTTATCATTTTAACTATTATTATCTTATTATCTTATATTATTTTCGTTGTTATTATTATTTTTATTATTTAAATTCAAAGGTGAGCATGTAATGCCTTGGCGAATTGCCACCTGCAATTATACTGCAACAATATTTAACCCTCATGAGAATAAAGATGTTAAAAAAATAAGCATTTATTGAAAAGCACGCAGACCTAAATCTCGCGTGAGACAACAAGAACTCAAAATAGCTTTAATGTATGCATCTACATCAGATTTGTTCACGAAGATGACGTTACTCTGGCCTAGATTATCAGATTGAAATAAGTGATTATATGCAGCTATATAAATACAACAGAAGTGAAGTGTGGGTTTGAATTAAGTACAGCCCACTGCACACATATTGATGTACAAAATTCCTCACTGTCTGGGTGAGTGCTTGGGTTCCAGAGTTAACCAGAGTCTAACATGCATTTGCTTTCTCAAGCATAGGGTTCGCTGGTTGCTTCTGCGTCTTGTATGCTCCTACTCTCTTTCTGCGCCTTGCCGTCTTGTAGACAATGACAGAGACGACAATAACCAGCAAGATGGCGCCAAGGGCCGATGCCATTTGAATGAATTAGAATTAATGTTATAAAATATAGCTATTTTCATCGCTATTTTGTATATTCTGAACTATTAATCATGTACATATGGTATCTGAAATAAAAAGCATTGTTTAGAGCAATGTACACCTTTGAGGTGATCATTTGTTAATAAAAGCACATTGATTTGTGGGCGGGACGTTGTATATTTTATAGGATAGACCACAAAATTAGATTTCAATGAACACAAAATAATTGTAAATGAGATGCAAAAAATATTTAATTGTGTTTTCTTTAAGTCTATTTTCAGATTGGTTGAGACTTTGAAAGGATAGTCCGTTGGTCTGTTGGTAAATGCCCGGATATAGAGTAATCGGCAGACGAGAGATGTGACCAATCATCTAACAGCTTCTTTTCCAGTTCTTGTACTTATTGTGGTAGGTGATCCACACCCTTTTCTGTCACATTTACACCCTCCCAGTTCACAGCGGTCGATCATTTCCGCCGCAATCTGTAATTGGAAATAAAAGAGTGGAGCCTATGGCAAACCCTTATTTTCACGAAATGTCCCGGGGCCTGCGTCATAAATGTTTAAGTTTTATCTATGGTTACACCTTATAAACTGGATAGCCTATAAACTACATACAAACGCTTTGGTCTAAGACGGTTATAGTACCTTCTACAGACTGACTTGCTTTAATATCATAGTCAAGGGATAATTTGAGGATATTTCATGTTGATGCTTTTTAGCACGTGTTCTGCAAAAAGAGTCCCCAGATGGTCGGCGATGATCAACGCCCACGTCGTTTTGAGGGCGATGATGAAATATCCCAAATCCAGGGATAAGCTAGGATAATAATGCATAAACAATAGGATAAAAAGATAAGAAGATGGCTATATGAATCAGTAAAAACCCAAACCAAACCATAGAAAAAATCTAAACAGATTAAAGATTAAAATTCATCACAAAAACCAAACCATGACCACACCATGCATTAAGATGCTGCTGGCATGGCAACAGTATAACATCATGAGTCAGCCCGCGCAATTATCTCTACCTGACCTCAAGCTCCTTCTGATAAGTAATGTTACCGTCAACAGCGTCTTCAAAAACTTCCTGATCCAGGTGAACCAACATGGCAGGCCCTGTGGCGTGGTCGAGCGTCATCTTTTGTTTTGTTGGGGTGGTTTTGACACAACTAGCTGATGGTCAAACACAAGTTTCTGATGATCTCCTATTTCCGTACGGCATTGCTAACGGAGATAGTGTGGTGCCTGTTAACGATGACGGGAGCTCGCCAGAAATTCAACTTCTGACTATCTTTCCTTATTTTGATCTACCGCATTCATCCTTGTATGTAAGTAGATTGCGCAGGAGTAATACATTATTTTGTAATAACCGATATTTACCGGGGTATACCGATATTTGAAAGGGGATAAAGATATCAGTATGATTTTTGCCATTTGCAAACTTAGGTTACAGTTAATACCAATTTGAAAGAAACAAACACCGCAGTTAAAATATACATGTATTTCGTTGTGCTTCATGTCCATCATATATATATATATATATATATATATATATATATATATATATATATATATATATATATAACCGTTAAATTACAAGAACTGCTTATCCACTCTAAATTAAACAATATTCTCAAAATGGTAGCAACTTTCATATTTTAATTCGGGCTCGAAAATCTGACAAACTTTTATGTCATTTTAACTTACTGGGACCATTCGTACTACAGTAAGGAGATAAAGTCGTAAAAAACATCAATTCCACTTGTTTTAATTTTTGTGACAAATAGCTTAACGTATCTAGAAATTTCTAAAAACATATTAAAATTATATTTACCTGTGTAAAATACACAAAACAACGCGAAAATAAAAATTAACTTAATTTTTTCAACTACACATTTCCCTTGAATTACGCAGCGATGTCTCAAAAATAATTGACATTTTTCATTTAATTGATAAGATATTCGTTATAAACACACCTGGGCACACCTGTATCTCAAAATTTAAGAGGCAAATTATGGCAGTGTCAATATAATGAAAAGATACTTTATCAAACATTTTAGTCTGTGGGGATATTTCAAACCCAACTGTTCAGACTAAACGCTGTGTAAAACAATACATTTTACACAATTTTTTTTATCTTTTAAAAGCTAAGTTAAAACGGTGTACACATTCCTTTGTCATATCTGTACATAAGACAGTGTACTGTGAAAATGTACAGAGACAAATAATGATAATAACATACTTGTTTTAACAATCTATAATCTTTATTGAGCACTTGAATGTGTACAAGTTACATTTTACAAGCTCTCTACACTTATCATAACATCTTTATAACAACTATAAAATCTATACAAAATAGATTTGGAATTATTACTGTGTCACTGTGATTTCCACAGATGTAAAGAAATGTCTATTAAAATTAAAAAGACGCCATCAAATGTCACCAAATTTACACACAATTAGCATTAGGATCTGTTCGTTAAAGGTCACGTGCCTAATAGCGTGTCTGCCTGCCGCGTACTGCAACTATCTCCTGTAGGCGGCGCGACAAGCCTTCAACAAGGGTAACAATTCTGTTTTGTGGGATATTGTCCCATTCATCCTAAAGAGCGTGGCGATATTGGTCCAGATTATTTGGGAATTGGTTCTCTTCTGCATTGCACACTACAATTAATGCCACAGGTGCTCAGTAGGATTAATATCAGGGCTCAAAGACGGTTGTCCCATTCTCAGAGACCTGTGGTTCTGCAAAAATCGTTTGTCAGACGAGAGCTGTGAGCAAGTGCGTTGTTACAATGAAGCTGGTAGCACAATGAAGTCACCTCTTGCAAATGGAGTGAGATTCTGCTGAGAATGTTACTGTAAAATGCCCCAGTTACGTTTTGCTCAAAAAGGAACAATGTACTTATACCACGGACTAGGAATGTTCTCCAAATGCGGACTGATCCAACACCTCAGACGATATTATCCTGCACACACCCTTCCAAAAGGCTTTTTTTCAACATGTCTACGGACCCTCATTGACCGTCCATGGGATACAAGAAATAACTTGATTCTGCATCAAAACCGACTTCCATCCAGTGATGGATGGCCAGTCTGTGGGATCACTGAACGTAGCATTCTCAGCTGATATCTCACTCCATCTTCAAGAACTGACTTTGGGGTTAACTCCAGGCTTCATCATGGCTGCACACTTGCTCACACCACTCGCCTGGCAAGTGATTTATTGTAGAAACAAAATGCTCTAAGGATGGAACCACCATCTTTGAGCCCTGGTATTAACCTTACTAATCAACTGTGACATGAATTGGAGTGTGCAATGCAGAGGAGAACCAACCCCATAAAAATGAGGACCAACTCCCCAAAGCTGTTTCAGAAGAATGGGACAATATCACACAAAACAGGATTGTTACCCTTGTTGAAGGCTTGTCGCGCCGCCTACAGGAGATAGTTGCAGTACGCGGCAGGCAGACACGCTATTAGGCACGTGACCTTTAACGAACACCCTCTAATGATAATTGTGTGCGAATTTGATGACATTTGATGGCGCCTTTTCAAATAAATAGACATTTCTTTACATCTGCAGAAAACAGTGAAACATTGTATTTGAGGGGGTGCCTCCTATAAATTTTACTAAATGGTATAAAATGTGTATATTTTCACCACTATTTTGTATTTTTGGAACCATTAATCATGTTAGACGCGGTACCTGGAATAAAAAGTACTGTTTCTAGCAATTTACAGCTGTGAAGTGATCATTTGTAAATAAAAGTACATGGAAATGGGGGTGGGACAACCTTTTTGACCAATGTTGTATATACCTGTATAAGGTTCTCAAGCATGTTTCACTTTTTGGACTGCAGTTTTTCATGATCTGTTTTCTGCTTAGGTGATATCATGGGTCTGCTTCTCCCGTTACTATGTTCTTCACATTTCAGTAAAAAATGAATTTCCGTTTCAATTTCATTACAGTGAGGGCACTGACGATTTTCAGTCGGGATTTTAGGAGAAGTATAGCTACCCCGTTTAGTCGCGGTCACTAATCCGCATTTTCGCAATAGTCTATTTCTGATGGCTTGGCTTTCATTAAGAGATAGTTAACTATAAGTTACACAAATAAACTTATAACTTATAATAATCTTATCTGTGAGATATAATTTATTAAGGCATTGCCAATGTTTCAGGGCAATAATTATTTCATTTATGACTAATTTGGATTCATTTTGAAATGTAATAGCACAAATGTTGTGTCCCAAAGTTTTAGAAAGGATAATGGACTGAAGTTCTTTCATTATACCGTGATTCCAGGTGAACACCAATGGCGCCATATCATTTATGCAGCCTATCAGTCAGTACACGCCCGCTCCATTTCCACTCCACAATTCACTGAGAATGGTTGCTCCTTTCTGGACCGACGTGGATACCACAAGAAACACGGGTCGTGTCTTCTACAGGGAGGTTACATCAGCAACAGACCCGGGACTAATGCAAAGAGTTGACGTTATCATACACATTGCCTTCCCAGGGTTTAGAAATCTGACGGCCACGTGGGCCTTTGTTGCCACGTGGAACAACGTCACATATTTTGGTGGGAATCAATATACTCCTGTCAGTTAACTTCCTGTTTTTTTTTTAATCACAAAAAGAGAATTTGGAACAAGTTTTTCATTATGTTTTGTCTTAATTAATCTGAAGGGTAGGTTGTTCCCAAGTAGATGGTGTAATTTAGTATTAAATTTGGCCTGACCTTGACCCCCTTTATCCTGACACCATTTCAGTGACTCTGTATTCCACATTCTCTTTCCTCTCCCATCTGATGTTTCCCCTGTCTTTGAAAACCTCGTCACCTGAGTGGCATATGATTTAATTTTAGACGAACACATTTCAAGCAGTCTTGGCGACCAACGGGAGACATTCGTTTGCCATCTTCAACTACGCTAAGATAACCTGGACAACTGGAACTGCTAGTGGCGGAGATAGAAGAACAGGTCTGGGAGGCACACCAGCACAGGTATGTACATCTTCCTCTCTCTTTCAAAAGCTCTGTGCAGTGTTTGTTTAATTTTCGACTTTGCCGAAACAAGCTGGACAACAAGAACTGTTACACCTAAGGATGGAGAAAGCAGAAGCAGCCTGGAGGCACGGTCGATCCTCTGTCATCACTCAGATATGTGCCCTTTGATATGTCATCCCGCCTAAAGTGAAGAAGAAGGCGGTGGTCATAGTAGTCAGAATAGAAATATCATAACTACTCCCCATGGCCCATCTTGGATTTTGCAGTCGAAGTGGAGAACTTGATCAAAAGCACTGTTAGTGCCTTTTTCAAGTTGAATGTTTGTTGTATAAACATTTTCAAACACCGAAGAGGACGCCATAGCCCTTAGGCCGACCACTAGAAATTATTTTACTGGTAATGTACATAGGCAAAAGTACAAACTTGTCAGTCATACAAAGCCAACTTTGTTATTTTAGGTTGGCTTCGACTCCGGTGATGGTGAACACTACCATGCGGTGAATGAATCTCGCACGGACGCCATAGTTAACATCTCCAGAACTAGCAACGTCCAGACTCCTGGACGCTGGGTGTTCCAAATAGACAAGGCTGAAGTGAAGGAAGGAGGGTGCAATACAGTGGGTAAATTGACAAAGCTAAAGTAAAGAAAGAGGGGTCCAATACAGAAGGTAAATAGACAAAGCTAATGTTGAAAAAGGTGGGGGTGCAATACAGAGGGTAAATAGGTGCAAGATATTTTGACACAAACAACTTATGATGCATATATTGCGTGCAAGTCTTTCAGTTTGCTGTCAGCCTGCTTGTCTGCCGGTCTTCATTCCTTAATTTAAGCATTGTCTTTATCTTCCAGGCACCTTGGTGATTTCTCCCGTCAGAGGAAACATCCTCGGAGGGGAGGAGATCTTGTTATCTGGACCTTGTATTGATTCGGAAGAACATGATATCGTGTGTAAATTTGGTGACGTCACAGTGGAGGGAAAATACCACAAAAACAGGACAGCCAAGTGTATTACTCCGCCGCTCTTTGTCATGGGGAGAGCAGATGTACAGCTTTCCATCAATGGGGGCACCAATTTTACACATAGAGGATTTTTTATACCAGGCAATAGTTTTTAAGTGACTCATCTTTCCAAAACAGAAAGTTATTAACAGAAAGTTATTAATAGATATAACGTGACTTTATGCTCAAAGTATCATGTTGTCTGCTGTCGGAGAGGTTTATTAAGTAATTAAGTAATGCTAATTTTAAACGTTTCCCTACTCTGTAAGTAGTTATGTAGCGGGTTTGCATAAAAAACGTCATTATCAAAATTTTTTGCCGCACAAGTGCCTTAAATTTTGATAACGTAAACATAATCTCCAAGCAATCTACCTTATCCTATTTTAGAATACAACGAGGTATTTTCTAAAGTTACACGTGTTGACGATACGAAATGGCGCGAAAGTGGTCCATATTACATAGAATGGACGCCAGAGCAGGTTCTAGATGGTGAACAGAACGCAGAAATTGTGGACATAGATCTTCTTGCATTTGAGTAGGCGTTTCATAGTGAAAAATGTCGAATGTTATTGTCAAGGGGCGATAAAGATCACCAAATGGGTTTGGGATAACATTTGTTAAAGTATTTCAACCATAATTCTGTTCGCATATCTTGCAGATATTTTTTACCTACTCTAGTATGCATCGTATTTGCTTTTCAAATGAACGAAAAAAAGCACTGAAATATTTCAGAGAGCCGAAAGATGGTGCGGTAAAACAAACCTGGTACACATTGGCTAAGAGGGTTCAAAACAACGGTACATTTGACCTAGGCACTGTTGCCGTGAAATTCAGAAAGACAGAGTTTATTGGAGCTGTGCGTATCTCACGGTCCCTGCCTCTCTCATATCCATGTCAAGGATTTGAGAAAGAACACAAGCAAGTATACAATTGGCATGAAAGATTGAAAAGGTCTTGTTTTATCAACAGAATTAATTCAGGGAATTTTTGAATTGATAACTTTGAATCCTGTAGAATTAAAATATAAGATCACTACATATACCAACAATAAAAAGAGTAAATTATTCATCGGAAAAAGTATCCAATTCGTTAATTGCAAGAAATGACAAACGTTAATCAGACCTCTGACTTAATCCTAATGCATGGTTTCCCCACCAGGTCGATATGTAGAAGGCCCGCCATATGGACAGATATCCACGTGCTTCAGTGGCACACTTACAATCACCTAGCAACGGTGCTGCAGGAGGGGAAGATCCCAAGCGGCTTTCTTAAAGAAACATTTTATCAAATACAACAACTCAATTTACTCGGCGGCTCATGGGAAGGTACTAAAAGAAACATCTACAATCAGTCGCGTGTGATTAATTCAATCTGGTGTAGAAATTGGTACCAAAGTGACAAATACAAGTACGAAATATTGCCACAAGATCTCCCACCATGTCCCGTCACTTTACAGCAAGCCCTTCGAGACCGAGGCCGTTTCCATGCCGACCCGACGTGTCACCGTGGAGACCGCAATGGTTGTATCTTACATCCGGGAGCTTTGCATTGCGTCCGCTCAAATGAATGCAGGTGGGATCTCAAATAGTTTATTCAAAAATTGGAATAAAAAAAGAAATAAATAAGGCTGTAATCTAGTCTCTTCCTCAAATGTTAAAGACGGTATACAATAAGAAAGAAGTCACGCACCTTACATACATTAGCTTGAAATATGAAAAATAATAATTTTCAAAAGTGGGAATTAATTTATTTTCAATTATCTAGACTTACATGCACCCTGTCATTTAAAGTCCGTTTTTTCCCCGTTCCCATTTCAGCGGATCGGGAGCCGGCCAACAGTGCTGCTACGACCAGCAAGGCAATCTCCTCAATGTGGCCGACAATCATGGCGGAGGAACCATGGTTATTTCGCACTACAAGGGATGTCGTTATCCGCCCGTGGTGCCGTATATCAGTCACTTCTACACAGACTTACGTCCACACGCGTGGTGCTGTCACAGTTCTGGTAACATGTCCCTGTGCTCGGAAACGTACATGCAGAGACGACCCTCCCGTGACGGCAGAGGGTACCAGCCGCCTAGACCAGGTAGGACAGACTGGCGGTTCCAGATCTGTTTGATTTGGGGATAGGGGTCTTTGTGGAGTGGGGGGGGGGGGAGTTTACGTTTATTTATCAGTTTGGGAGTGGGTACAAGGGGGGAGTGGTGAACGGATATCTTTGAGCAATGACTATCAATAATGGTTCCAGACATTTATATCACACGACATACGGTTACCTTATGCGTGTTATGGGTACATTTTACCGATAGCTGCTGTAAACTTACTGTCGTTATTACGTGACAATTGAAACCTGAAATGATCATTAATTTACAGCACATTTGCAAATATTAGTTTCAACGTATAGGCAACTGATAACATTGACAGGCAGTGATTTCAATGATTGAAAATTCCAGCCACTGGTGTCGGTGACCCTCACGTGGTGACACTGGACGGACTACGCTACACGTTTAATGGGATAGGAGAATACAGCCTTGTAGAGAGCACGAACCAGACGTTCACGTGCCAGGGGAGGACAAAACAAGTTGACGGACAGAACGGTGAGTGAAGTGATGAGGATGACAGTGAATGTAAACTCCCAAAAGTAGACTGGTGTTGGGAATTTTTGTACATGTACCTATGATTCATATAATGAATGTATCCTCAAATCCAAAGCGTAACAAGACGCTGTGAGAACGGTCTATTACAAAATAATGTTATTCGATATTTTTAATATATTTAAAACTATATATTTAGGACTATTTTGGCAAATTTTAGAGGCATATCAGAAACGTCTAAACCTACTGCTATCGATGTGCAGGTTCTGTCACACTAAAGCGTATAGTATTAATCAACGCATGGGAAAATTGTTTTACATTAGTTTTAACATCCCCCATGTTTAAGCCAATGCCCCCTTTCACTCTTACTCCAGGTGAGAAAGGCCTGGCGTCCGTGTGGGCAGCACTGGCCATGCGCGGCCACAACACCAGCAGGGTCCAGGTATCTTATAGTAAACTTTGGGGGATGGAGGTGTTCGTAGATGACGACATGATTGACTTTGATGAAGTAGGAAACATTGTCCCTGGCATAGAAGGTAGGTCTGGGCCAGAGTTTGGTCATTTGTTGGTGTGGTAACTTTGTTTTGTCTTGGAAATGGTAGTGTTCATTAGCTGCTTCGTTTTCCTGATGGCTTTGACATAGTTCCCAGCAGGCATAGTTGCGTTGGATCAACGTTGAAAACAGGTTGATACGTTGAATTGCCGTTGATCTACCTAAATTCAAAGTTAAATCAACGTTGATCCAGCCACGTTGACTCAACGTTGTATTTTGGTCAATGACACAACCTTGCAGTTATGGATTGTAATTTAAAATATTAATTATTGAAAACGTAATACTTTGTTTATCAATACTGTAACTAAATTTATCAAAATAATAACAAAATGGTTTTAAAGTAAAAGTGACAGTTGTTTTGTGTCTTTAGTTAACTAGTGAATTTTCTTAACTTGTTATTCAGAAATACATTCCAATAAACTGAATTGCTTGCAAGGTCAGCTAACACTAGGATGAAAAAGTTGCTGTAAATGTGATGGGGTTAACAGTGCTAGGTAACCTGTTATAGATAGACAGGTTGAGATGACTGTGACCTTGTTATATATATATATATATATATATATATATATATATATATAAGATCTATATGTATTAATCTAAACCTTGGAAATTTTAACTTAAAGGCCATACATTTATACCCTACATATATTTAGCCATCAAACATGTCCTACTGCTAAACACATCCAGGCAAATTTCCCGCTGGGTGGGGTTGATATAACATTGTTTTCTGACGTTGATACAACGTTGTTATCTGAGGTTGACACAACTTTCAAATCCAAGGTTTATTCAATGTCTTTTCAACGTTATGGTTCAACGTTGTTTCAACGTTAAAACAACATAATTTGCCCGCTGGGTTTCTTTTAAAGGTAATTGAGCATATTGAGATGCGTTAACTAAATACTTGAAATGTTAATTGATAAGAAGTTTGATACAGATTGTAAATGATTAAAACAACTACTGAAACGAAATTTCGGTAAAGATCGTTATTGCATTCCATTTGTGTAATTAGCATCAATATTTATACATGAATATTTCAGGCATTGAAATCGAAAAGGTGGCCAACGACTCAAAAGCCTTTATAAGTTTTGAGGATGAAGAAGTATATGTTGATGTGCAGATTGCAAACGGCGTTTTGAACTTTTTGCTCTACCTTCCAAATTATTTGAAGGGTACGTTGACGCTTTATACTATTATATATAACTATGAAAATTGATAATATACAGTTGTAAGCTGTAACTAATTTTAGTTAATATAATGTCCACTATATTTTTGAAGTTAAATGTACTAATTTACATATCAAAGTTACGAAAGCAGTTAAGAAGCCGTTGTCTTTAATTCAATTGAGGCGTAGATCCTACATAACGACTCACTGTATTTGTTTCAGGGAACGTTAAAGGGCTACTTGGCGTATGGAATGATGACCCCAAAGACGACCTTCTCTCACGTGATGGACACATGCTAAGCCCCAATGCATCACTTCAAGACATTCATTATCATTTTAGTGAAACGTGTACGTATTCATCATCTTCATCCCAGTGACATTATGCCCCGACTAGTATATATTCAATTAATGAACAAAAAATATATATTTATATATAAAAACATACTGGTCATAATAATAATAACAAAAATATGTATTATATCTTGTACTTGGGTATTTACAAAACAACATTTCCTTTGCAGGGCGCATCAGTGAAACGTCATCACTTTTCACTTACGGCATCGGTGAAAGTTATGCCAGCCATCAAAATGAATCATTTGAGCCCATGTTTAAACGTCCAAAACTCGAAAACGAGACTCTGCAGATCCAGATGGAGGCTGTGTGTGGGGAGAGCCTCGAGTGCATGTTTGATTTTACAATAACTGGAGGAAACGCTGAAATGGCCGCAACGAGTAAAATGGTGATGGTTGAATATTCTGAAGCGGTCTCTGAAACTAAACCAGGTGAGTTAAAAGTATATATATCTACAGGCAACGAACAATGCAGAATACTTGTGATGATGGCTACTGTCTGGAAATGAGACACACAGATATTCCAATGCAACGCGATTCATGGATCCTTATTTCTATGAGTGGTGGCTAAACATTAATATAAAAATAACCTTTTTTTCACTCCTAAGATTTCATTTTACTCTTCTATAAACATAAGTATGACTTCCTTTTGATCAAAATTATCTACCCGTGATATTTATTTTATTCATGTTTCAGTGTAAACTTCTTTCAGCGCTAAGTTTTCATTTCGTTCTTCTTAAAACGTACGCATGACTTCGTTTTTATCATAATTCTTTACTCGTGATATATTTCTTCCGATTAAATCTTATTGCAGTTATTACCTGTGGTTTTCTGGCAACATCTACCAATGTTAAAAAAGACAACGTCTCTACCCTGGCGGGCACCATAGTGACCTTGACCTGCCCCGAAGGATACGCCCTGATTGGCCAGAGTACCGTGAAGTGCCAGGATGATGGGACGTGGGACAGCTATGGCGACGCCAAGTGTAGGAAAGGTAGTCACAGTTATATCTGACCGCGGTTATAAATGTCCTTGTGTACTGTATGGTTAACCGATACGATATGAGAGTAAAACAATCTCTTCTTATTGTTGACATTTTATTCTTATGTCCTCACAATTAAAGGGATAATTACTGTTAGTTTTGGCCAAAAAAATGAATTTTCCTCGAGTAAACAACAATTTGAAACCATTTCTTCATTCAAAGTTAGTCTTTTGTTTTTCTAAAGAATAATCAGCTGTGGAGATCACGTGGTCCAATGACAAGCTCAGATATCAGAATAATAGCTATAACTGTCGTTTTTGCAGTAAAACAAAATACATTAAATTTTTATGAGTTGTTTACAATGTTTTTGTTGTGATTTATTGATCTCATACGAAGAGTTATTATCCCTTAAAATTAACAGTTTTTATTCTTCTTGTTGCAAAATAATGAGACATTGTTGACTTTTTATTAGGGAAATCAATTCGAAGCAAGGCGATTTCATTCACTTATTAATATATATTTGTACATAAAAACAAATGTATATTCCACTGCAATGTGACGTTAATGGATTCGTATTTCTACATGAATGTGGTGTTTGAATATTCATGTTTTAGTATAAATGTTTTTTCACCGCTAAAATTTCATTACATTCTAAAAACTTAGGTATGATTTGTTTGTATCATAATAATCTATCACGGAAATTTCCTCTAAATAAATCTTATTGCAGTTATAACCTGTGGTTTCCTGGTTACTTCCGCCAATGTTACAAAAGACAACCTGTCCACCCTGGCGGGCACCATAGTGACTTTGACCTGCCCCGAAGGGTACGCCCTGATTGGCCAGAGTACCGTGAAGTGCCAGGATGATGGGACGTGGGACAGCTATGGCGACGCCAAGTGTAGGAAAGGTAGTTACAGTTATATCTGGACGGGGTTAAAAATGCTCTTGTGTTCCATCTGATCAAACCATCACGATGTTATGAGAGAGAGCTGTTTCTTATTCCAGTTGAAAATATTACTCTTATTTGATCACATTCAATCTTTTGATCTTCATGACGTATCTAAAAGGGATCTTGCTGACTATTAGACAAAAGGAAAAGTATTTCGAGGTAAATCGTCTTGCATAGCAATTCCTTACTCAGAATTTGTTTGCGGTATGTACAGGTACAGCATATGCTTATATGCTAAAAGTGAAAAACAAAAGTTCACTTATACGGCAAATGAATGCATTAACATGCAATTTTAAAATTACATAAGATTCCGTACGATTTATCATAATATTATATATTACAAGATGTACCGGTAGGTGCTCGTATTTCCAGCACATATACCAAATATATATGCAGAGTATATACGTACAGGTAGACCTGTACACATACGTGCATAGATGATTTCCTTACATTGTGTATATAGATAATACAATTCAAGAATATGTGAAAGTGCACATATTTTATGGAACCTTGCTCTCTCTTCCAGCGAGTGAACCCAGCATGCTGAATACCATCGCCATCGGGGTCGGAGCGGCTCTAGGCGCCATTTTGTTGGTCATTGTTACTGCCGGCATCGTCTGCAAGGTACTGAAGATCAAGAAGTCGAACAAATTGAAACTGCGCTCTTCACTGTGTCATATAAACCAAACATATAAGCCGACAGAGGACTACTGGAAATAAACAGCTCCACCGGTGACCTGTGGCACCTGCTAAACTACCGCTGTGTGTGTTGATAATTACAATGTGGCCATTTCTATCACTATTTTAGCCTGTTGGGCCAAAGAACATGATCAAAACTTAATACGTTAATTTAGCCGACACTAATGTAAACAGTATTATTTATTATCATTATTAATATTAATTTTTTTATGATTGGCCTTAAAGAAGAATACAGTTATATTTTGACGTAATATTGAGCCTACTGACCGTGTGTGAAAGTGTTAAATTAATCGAGTCACCTGATCCCATGCCTTCATTTATACGATATTAGGGAAACGTTAATTTGCTTAAAATACATGGCGAGATATATACGTAGATGTATTGTTTTTATTTCCGGATCGATCGGGACATTAGCACGGGAGGTACAATCATTGCGTCATTAAGTATATTACAGATTTTAATATATCCACAAATATGATCTTCAATCAGAAAGATGAAGTTTTTCGGAAGCCATGTTGAGAATAGTTTAGAAACAGTTTAGAGGCCATGTCCTTTTTTAAAAAGCAGTCACAAATTATCGTTGGATTTTAAGCACCAGCATTAGAGTAACGTTGTAGCACATCTACAAAATTCTCGTCACACGTGAAATTTTAGTATGAGTAGCATAACGAGGATAAGGCTTTTGGAACCAATTGTAAATAAATGTTTAATTGTAAGTATCTGCACATTTGTCTGTCTCTTGTTGACGCACCACACATCAGTCGTGGTATGGGGTGTAATGATTTGGCTATCATGGTGTACGCAAGTTGGTAGAGGCCAACGGGAACCTCAACACGCGCCAATATATAGTACTAGAAAGGAACGTATAAAAATTTGAAGAATATCTCTGGGGACCGTGAACACCCAGTTCTAATTCACTATGATAATGTTACTCAACAAACAGACAACGCAACAAACCCGAACTAATGAAGTGACAACCAGATCTAGGACCACCAATGACCAGTTTAATTTTAAGATCAGAACATCATTATCAATGTGAGGGATGCCAGAGAGAGGAATTCTGAGGAATAACCCTGCAAACTAAAATTATTCCATGTCATCAATATACCGGGCGTGGAACACCATCCCTCGGCAAACTGTACAGAACCTTTTGACTCCATGCACAGGCACCTGAGATGCGTTCTCCAATCTAAAGGGTACTGTACAAATTACTAAGATTTCTTTCTATGCGGAGTTTATTCATACATGTGAGTTCTACAACCAGTGAAATTTCGTGACACAAAAACTTTATTAAACAGCCACTGGTCAATGACACTTTTCGTTAGACTACAGTATAGATACAAGTAATCGTGTATAGCTGGTGGATGTTTTTTTTCTTGTTGAGACAATTTTGACCTAATCATCCGATATATTTAGCCATCTGTCTTTTATTTTTAAATTAGGTTACGCAGTTCCCCTTTGTGTTTCCCTCCACTCTCCTCCAGCTCGGCGGTCATTTGGGTTCCTCTGCTTGGAATACTGGTTTTACATAACGACGCGGTTTCTAATTCAACATTACTGTAACTATAACGCAACATTTCTTATAAATACTTAACAGTTCCAGTGCAAATTTTGATAAATGTATAATAGTTAGGCCTCCAGTGTTGAAGTTGCCAATGGTGATTTTTGGTATTTTGTGATAGTCTTGTTTATAAGCTATTATGAGATCGCCGCGTGAAATCAGAAATACAGATCTCTTTACATTTCCCGTAAGTTCTTCAAAAAGAAAGACATATTTTTATCTCGTTCCCACAATGGAAAATATAGTGCCCAAAGTTTAGGGCACATAAATGACCGCAAATGCTTAAAGAAATTTAACTTAATTCAAACTTAATGTATTGACAATTGAAAAGAATTAGGCGTAGATCTCCATCACCGTATGACTTCACTGGTCTTTTGTTCACTAAGATGTGAATTTCGGTTTCGATTATCAAAATTAAAAGAAGAATAAAAACCAACAAAAGTGAAGTGTTGGACACGCATTTCAAACTTAAACATAAATTAAACTCATACGTTACAATGGTTAAAAGTAAAGACATTGACAGTACGGTTATTTAATAAATGAAACATTGTCATAAGTTACTGGAATAATATATGATTCTTGACATCTTTATAATAGCTGTGATGTGATGAATATAGTATTATGAAATCATGGCAATATTGCTTTATCTTATGATTTTTTTGATGTTTTTGCCTTGCGTGCATTTTCATATTGTATTTTCATTTAAATATTATATACAATATTCTGGCACATATAAAGAATAGCAAAAGTTTTAGGAATTCTAAGTACTTTTATAAGGGTTTGAAAAGCACAAAAACCTAAATCGCAACGAGAGCTTCCAATAACTTGGTGTATATTTCTCCAAATAGCTTAAATGTATGCATCTACATCAGATTTGTTCACGAAGATGACGTTACTCTGGCCTAGATTATCAGATTGAAAGAAGTGATTATATGCAGCTATATAAATACAACAGAAGTGAAGTGTGGGTTTGAATTAAGTACAGCCCACTGCACACATATTGATGTACAAAATTCCTCACTGTCTGGGTGAGTGCTTGGGTTCCAGAGTTAACCAGAGTCTAACATGCATTTGCTTTCTCAAGCATAGGGTTCGCTGGTTGCTTCTGCGTCTTGTATGCTCCTACTCTCTTTCTGCGCCTTGCCGTCTTGTAGACAATGACAGAGACGACAACAACCAGCAAGATGGCGCCCAGGGCCGATCCCACGGCAATGCCCACAGTCCTGAGCAATGTAGGCTCGCTCGCTGTAATTATTTTGATATATAAATATATGTATATAAGTGAACGGAATCGCCATGCAAGGCTATTTGCATCGAATTAATTTCCCTAATAAATAGTCAACAATGTCTCAATAGTTTGCGACATAAAGAATAAAAACAGTTTAACTGTTAACTTAATTGTGAGAATATAAGAGTAAAATGTCAATAATAATTAGAAACTGTTTTCTCTCATTATATCGTATCTGTTAATCATACAATACACAAGGACATTTATAACCCCGCCCAGATATGACTGTGACTACCTTTGCTACACTTGGCGTCGCCATAGCTTTCCCACGTCCCATCATCCTGGCACTTCACGGTACTCTGGCCAATCAGGGCGTACCCTTCGGGGCAGGTCAAGGTCACTATGGTGCCCGCCAGGGTGGACAGGTTGTCTTTTGTAACGTTGGCGGAAGTAACCAGGAAACCACAGGTAATAGGCCTAACTGCAATTAGATTTAATTTGAGAAAATATCACTGGTAGAAAATCATGGCAAGAATGAAGTCATATCTATCTTTTTAGAATGTAATGAAATTTTAGCGGTGAAAAACAATGTTAACACTATAAAAACATTCAAACAACATATTCATGTAGAAATACGAATCCATTAACGTCACATTGCATTTGAATAGACATTTGTTCTCTAATTATCATTTCTGGACAGTAGCCATCATTACAGTTAAATTTCAACAATAATTAGAAACTGTTTTCTCTCATTATATCGTAACCGATTATCATACAGTACAAAAGGACTTTCATAACCCCGCCCAGATATAACTGTGACTACCTATGCTACAGTCAGTTGGAATAAGAAACAGCCTTATCTCATAGCATCGTGACGGTTTGATCAAATGCAACACAAGGGCATTTATATATCCCTTTCCAGATATAACTGTGACTACCTTTCCTACAACTATAACCCCGCTCAGATATAACTGTGACTACCTTTCCTACACTTGGCGTCGCCATAGCTGTCCCACGTCCCATCATTCTGGCACTTCACGGTACTCTGGCCAATCAGGGCGTACCCTTCGGGGCAGGTCAAGGTCACTATGGTGCCCGCCAGGGTGGACAGGCTGTCTTTTTTAACGTTGGCGGAAGTATCCAGGAAACCACAGTCAATAGGCCTAACTGCAATTAGATTTAATTGGAGGAAATATCACTGGTAGAAAATTATGGCAGGAATGAAGTCATATCTATGTTTTTAGAATGTAGGCCCATAATGAAATTTTAGCGGTGAAAAAACGTTAACACTAAAACACGAATATTCAAACACCGTATTGATAGAAATACGAATCCATGCACGTCACATTGCATTGGAATATACATTTGTTCATTGTCATTTCTGGACGGTAGCCATCATTACAGTTAAATTTCAACAATAATAAGAAACTGTTTTCTCTCATTATATCGTAACGGTTAATCATACAGTACAAAAGGACTTTCATAACCCCGCCCATCTATAACTGTGACTACCTTTGCTACACCTGGCGTTGCTATAGCTGTCCCACGTCCCATCATCCTGGCACTTCACGGTACTCTGGCCAATCAGGGCGTACCCTTCGGGGCAGGTCAAGGTCACTATAGTACCCCGAAGGGTGGAGAGGTTGTCTTTTGTAACGTTGGCGGAAGTAACCAGGAAACCACAGGTAATGACTGCAATAAGATTTAATAGGAAGAAATATTATGATAAAAACGTCATACGTATGTTTTAGGAACAACGAAATGAAAACTTAACGGTAAAAAAACGTTTACACTAAAAACATTCAAACAACATATTCATGTAGAAATACGAATCCATGAACGTCACATAGCATTGGAATATACATATACATTTATTCATTATCATTTTGGGACAGAAGTCATCATTACAGTTATTCTCTATTGTTAGTGATAAGGCACCAGTATTTATACACTTTTAACTCACCTGGTTTAGTTTCAGAGACCGCTTCAGAATATTCAACCATCACCATTTTACTCGCTGCGGCCATTTCAGCGTTTCCTCCAGTTATTGTAAAATCAAACATGCACTCGAGGCTCTCCCCACACACAGCCTCCATCTGGGTCTGCAGAGTCTCGTTTTCGAGTTTTGGAGGTTCAAACATGGGCTCGAATGATGCATTTTGATGGCTGGCATAACTTTCACCGATGCCGTATGTGAAAAGTGATGAAGTTTGACTGATGCGCCCTGCAAAGGACATGCTGTTTTGTAAATACCCAAGTAAAATATATTATATATTATTTTATTATTATCATGATGTTTTAATGTTTATTATTTTTTGTTCTTTAATTGGATGTATACCAGTCGGTGGATGATGTCACTGCATGCATGCATGCACCCGCACGAAAATGCAGTAGTATCGAAGTAGCAAAAAAAGCATTAACGCAGTAGTGGTGTGGAGCATATTTGCAGTAGAAATGCAGCATAGCCTACTGCAATTCTACTCCAAAAAGTACATAGGTTTGTACAGAGAGGAGCATTAATGCAGTAGATTAGCAGCATGATAGAAGCATGTTTCAAATATGCTAATTAGCTCCCAAATCGAAGCAGATTTGAAGCATGTTTGCAGTATGATTGCAGTAGTCTACTGCGGTTTGCAGTATGATTGCAGTAGTCTACTGCGCTGGAGTATCTACTACGTTTTCTTGCGATTGGGATGAGGATGCTGGATACGTACACGTTTCACCAAATTTATAATGGATGTCTTCAACTGATGCATTGGGGCTTAGCACGTGTCCATCACGTGAGAGAAGGTCATCAATGGGATCATCATTCCATACGCCAAGGAGCCCTTTAACATTTCCTGAAACAAACAGAATGAGTATTAGTCATTTAGTTTTAATTGAAATAAAGAAAATGGATTCTTATTAGTTTAATCTATTCTGTTGTTATCATAAAGCGGCTTTGATGTGTAGATTAGTAAAGTTAACTTAAAAAATATCGTTAACTACAGAAGTCCGCGTTATGTAATCTGAAAATTGGTAACAGTTTATAGTCGCACATTATCAATGTATATATAGTTACATACAATTGTATTAAGTGTCAACTTACCCTTCAAATAATTTGGAATGTAGAGCAAAAAGTTTAGAACCCCGTTTGTAATCTGCACATCTACAAATACTTGTTCATCCTCAAAACTTATATAGGCTTTTGATTCGTTGGCCACCTTTTCAATTTCAATGCCTGAAAAACATAACCCGTAGATATTAATGGTAATATACAGTGTATGAATGGAATGCGACACCGGCCCTTACTGATAATTCGTGTCAGTCATTTTAAATCTGCACCAAACGTCTTATCAATTAACGTTTCAATATATACCCAGGAAGTATGTCAAGGCCATCAACAAAACAAAGCAGCAAATGAAAACTAGCATTTCAAAGACAAAACAAAGTGCCCACACCACCAACTGACCAAACTCAGGCCCAGACCTACCTTCTATGCCAGGGACAATGTTTCCTACTTCATCAAAGTCAATCATGTCGTCATCTACGAACACCACCATCCCCCAAAGTTTACTATAAGATACCTGGATCCTGCTGGTGTTGCGGCCACGCATGGCCAGTGCTGTCCACACGGACGCCCGGCCTTGCTCACCTTAAGGCAGAGTGAAAGGGGGCATATTGGGTTCGATGGGGGATTTTAAAACTAATGTAAAACAATTTTCTCGTGCGTTTATAAATACTATAAGCTTTCGTGTGACAGAACCTGAACATTGATAGCAATATTTTTATGCGTTTCTGACATTCTAAAATTTGCCAAAGATACAAACTAAATTCTGACATGCCTCTGAAATTTACCAAAAATAAATACAACCTAAAACTAAAGTGTAAAATTTGCCCCCCCCCCCCAAAAAAAAAAAAAAAAAAAAAAAAAAAAACTAAATATATAGTGTAAAATATATTTAAAATAACCGAGAACATTCTTTTGTAATAGAACGTTTTTACAGAGTGTTTTTCTGCTTTGGATTTGAGGATATATTCATTATATGAATTATAGGTACATGTACAAAAATTCCCAACACTAGTCTAATTTGGGGTTTTTGCATTCACTGTCATCCTCATCACTTCACTCACCGTTCTGTCCGTCAACTTGTTTGGTCCTCCCCTGGCACGTGAACGTCTGGTTCGTGCTCTCTACAAGGCTGTACTCTCCTATCCCATTAAACGTGTAGTGTAGTCCGTCCAGTGTCACCACGTGAGGGTCACCGACACCAGTGGCTGGAATTTTAATTTATTTAAATTACTGTAGGTTACTTACCAATGTTATCAGTTGCCAATGCGTTGAAACTTAAATGTGATGCAGCTGTACTGGAAATTTATGATGATGCAGAGCTACTAATTTGAAGGACTTACATATTGTCACTATTTGACGAAAGCACGTTATGCTTAAAATATAAGACAAATGATCGGTAAAGCTCATGGCACACATTCACCAGAAGAAAGAAAATTAATCAGTTGTTAGATAAGTAGATTCCCAATGCTTGAAGTGTTAAAGAACCATTACCAATGGAAAAGGCAGCGTAGAAAAAATAGGTAATCTAAATCGTTTTATACTTGGACTCTATAACTTTTTCCATAATGTCGTTAACAGACAGATAGATAAATATTCAAATTATGATTAACCATTAAGTCTAACTGTTTTTACTTTACTTGACATTGTACAAATCCCACATATCTGGAACCGCCAGTACTTCCTACCTGGTCTGGGCGGCTGGTACCCTATGCCGTCACGGGAGGGTCGTCTCTCCATGTACGTCTCCGAGCACAGGGACAAGTTACCAGAACTGTGACAGCACCACGCGTGTGGACGTAAGTCTGTGTAGAAGTGACTGATATACGGCACCACGGGCGGATTACGACATCCCTTGTAGTGCGATATATCCATGGTTCCTCCGCCGTGATTGTCGGCCACATTAAGGAGATTGCCTTGCTGGTCGTAGCAGCACTGTTGGCCGGCTCCCGATCCGCTGAAATGATTGAAATGGATTATTAAAATACTAGACCTTGGCTTTAAGGGCTTTATGAATCCCTGGGGAATTGAAACCAATGTTAATTATTTCATTATAATTGATATTTTATATTTGAGGCATATATATATGTAAGTTATGCCAATTTTTTTCTACCATTAGAAACATTTTATAAAGAACCTTGGCTTTCGGCATTTGTTTTTGGCGTTTTGCTTTTCCTTTTACAACTTTTTAATTTACAAATGATGTGAGCGTAGATTCCCTATAACGCTTGTAAATCACTTCAATCGGTTTCTAATACGACTCAAATTAGGTTCATATGCCATTAAACCAAATCAATTACTTGGTTAGCAAACTGAACTTTACAACTGGACCATTCTCAACATCTTGGTCCTGGACCAGCTTCAACATCCTGGTCCAGGACAAGCTTTAACATCCTGGTCCTGAACCAGCTTCAACATCCTGGTCCTGGACCAGCTTCAACATCCTGGTCCTAGACCAGCTTCAACTTCCTGGTCCAGGACAAGCTTTTACATCCTGGTCCTGGACCAGCTTCAACATCCTGGTCGTACATTGTCCTATTTCTCTTTCCTAATAGATCACTTAGTCCGCTAAATGACAAAGTAATGCATGACGCATTACTGCTGTACTGAATAGGATGGAACGAAATAGCACAGAAAGAGAGCAAATATATCTGTTCATAATTATTTTTTGGAAGTATGAAACGATGCCCTTTGGTATTTCCTCAAGGTATGCTATTTGAAACTATATTATGGCATTTGGTCGGATTTAGTGGTGATGCTTTGGCATTCAAACTCGCTTCAAATGCATTTTTAACAAATAGGTGAAAGCCCACCTGCATTCATTTGAGCGGACGCAATGGAAAGCTCCCGGATGTAAGTTACAACCGTTGGGGTCTCCACGGTGACATGTCGGATCGGCATGGAAACGGCCTCGGTCTCGAAGGGCTTGCTGTAAAGTGACGGGACATGGTGGGAGATCTTGTGGCAATATTTTGTACTCAGATGTGTCATTGTGGTACCAATTGCTACACCAGATGGAATTAATCGCACGCGACTGCATGTAGATGTTTCTTTTAGTATCTTCCCTTGTGCCGCCGAGTAAATTGAGTTGTTCTATTTCAGAAAAGTTTTTCTCAAGAACTCCGCCCTCCTGCAGTACCGTTGCTAGGTGATTGTAGGCGTGCCACTGAAGCACGTGGATATCTGTCCATATGGCGGGCCTTCTACATATCGACCTGGTGGGAAACCATGCATTAGGATGAGGTCAGAGGTCTGTTTAACGTTTGTCAGTTCTTGCAATTAACGAATTGGATACTTTTTCCGAAGAAAAATTAACTCTTATTATCGTTGGTATATGTAGTGATCTTATATTTAAATTCTACAGAATTAAAAGTTATCAAATAAAAAATTGCCCGCAATTAATTCTGTTGATAAAACAAGACCTTTTTACTCTTTCATGCCAATTGTATACTTGCTTGTGTTCATTCTCAAATCCTGGACATGGGTTTTGATAAGAGACTGTGTTAGAGTATGGGAGGGACCGTGTTATACGCACAGCCCCAATAAACTCCGTCTTGTTGAATTTCACGGCAACCGTGCCCAGGTCAAATCTACCGTTGTTTGGTACCTTCTTAGCCAATGTGTACCAGTTTTTTTCCATCGCGCCATCTTTCGGCTCTCTGAAATTTCAATACCGTTTTCGTTCATTTAAATTTTGAAAAGCAAATACGGTGCATACTAGAGTACGTTATGAATCTGCAAGATATGCGAACAGAGTTATGGTTGAAAGACTTAAACAAATGTTATCCCAAATTTATTTGATGATCTTAATTGCTCTTTGACAATAACATTCGACCTTTTTCACTAAGAAACACCTACTCAAATGCAAGAAGATCAATGTCCACATTTTCTGCGTTCTGGTCACCATCTAGAACCTGCTCTGGCGTCCATTCTATGTAATATGGACCACTTTCGCGCCATTTTGCTTTGTCGGCACGAGTCACCTTAGAAAATGCCTCGTTGTATTCTAAAATGATACACTGAATGTTGATAACGTTTATGTTATTAAATTTTAAAGCACTTATGTCCAAAAATACTAATGCAAACCCGCTACATAACTACTTTCTGAGAATCTTGAATTTAAACTCTACTTAACGGATGATAATTTCACAACCATCAGGTAGCCATTCGTTATACGTTGCTGCCAATCCATTAATTAATAATATTCCAATTGAAAAAAATTCACCTGGTATAAAAAATCCTCTATGTGTGAAATCGATGCCCCCATTGATGGAGAGCTCTACATCTGCTCTCCCCATGACAAAGAGTGGCGGAGTAATACACTTGGCTGTCATGTCTTTGTGATGTTCTCCCTCCACTGTGACGTTACCAAATTTACACACGATATCATGTTCGTCCGAATCAATACAAGGTCCAGAGAGCAAGATTTCCTCTCCTCCGAGAATGTTTCCTCTGACGGGAGAAATCACCAAGGTGCCTGGAAGATAAAGACAATGCTTAAATTAAGGAAATTAAACAGGCAGCGGGCCCTTACTAAAATTTCCTACAGGAATTTTTAGGGGTTTTAGCTTTATTTACTCCCAGCCTGTACTGCACCCCTTTCTCCACTTTAGCTTTGTCTATTTACCCTCTGTATTGCACCCTCCTTTCTCCACTTTAGTTTTGTCTATTTGAAAGACCCAGCGTCCGGGAGTCTGGACGTTACTAGTGCTGGCGATGTTAACTATGGCGTCCGTGCGAGATTCTTTTACTGAGGCATAATGTTTACCATCACCGGCGTTGAAACCAACCTAAGAAAACGATTGTTTAATGAGTAACGACCTGAATGTTATGTTTGCCGATGAGTGCATTTTATAAAAATTTGCGGACAAACATACCAAAATAATGACAAGCTTTTTTCTGTCTACTAGTTTCTCCCTAACTTCATTGTGTTATGGCAGACATGGGTTGTTGTAAATTCGTTTCTAGTATTTTTTTCATTTTTGCTTACCAGGTTAATTAACCAATCAGGGCTCCGTAACTCGAAAGCATCGAGACTTGCGATAAGCGATATCACCTTTTATTTCGAGGCTATTATATGGGGCGAGTAAATCCCGAGTTATGGAATAGAGGTGCTTGCGCTCGGACGCAATTCGCGATGCATTCGAGTTACGAGCCCAGGGTGACAGCCATGCGCAAAGTTGACCACTGCAACAGAGCTTTTTTTTTTCGAGAGAGAGAGGGAGAGAGAGAAAGAGAGAAAGGGAGGGAGAGAGCTACAGTGGCTGACACAAATACATATACCTGTGCTGGGATGCCTCCCAGACCGGTACTCCTATTTCCGCCACTAGCAGTTCCAGTTGTCCAGGTTATCTTAGCGTAGTTGAAGATGGCAAACGAATGTCTCCCGTTGGTCGCCAAGACTGCTTGAAATGTGTTTGTCTAAAATTAAATCATATGCCACTTAGATTACGAGGTTTTCAACGACAGGGGAAACATCAGATTGGAGAGGAACGAGACTGTGGAATACAGAGTTACTGAAATGGTGTCAGGATAAAGGGGGTCAAGGTCTGGCCAAATTTAATATTTTAATAAAAAGTAGACACCATGTACTTGGTAACAACCTACCCATTAGATTAAATAAGGCAAAAATAATGAAAAACTTGTTCAAAATTCTCTTTTTTTATTGATTAAAGGAAAAAGGAAGGTTACTCACAGGAGTAGATTGATTCCCACCAAAATATGTGACATTGTTCCACGTGGCAACAAAAGCCCACGTGGCGCGAAATTTCGCCAGACCTCGAGAAGCTGGAAATGCACTCTGAATGACAACGGTAACTCTTTGCATAAGTCCCGGGTCTTTTGCTGCTGTAACCTCCCGGTAGAAAACACGACCCGTGTTCCTTGTGGTGTCCACGTCGGTCCAGAACGGCGCAACTATTCTTCGGAAGTCGTTCAGTGGAAAGGCAGCGGCTGTGAACTGACGTATGGTACCCAAGAATGATATGGCGCCATTGGTGTTCACCTGGGGACGGCAGATCATAACATTGATGAATTGTAATGTAATACATCACAAGTGGGTGAAGATAAGTGTTTGGAGAAATTTTAGAGAGTGGTTTCTAACATTCTAAAGTGGTGAGCTATGAGCAGATGAGTACGTATAAGATCAAGCTTAAGCTCACAAGGTACATTATGGATTCATAATATTTTTAATATTTGAATTTTTGCTTGGTCAATGTGTAAAAGCACCTCAGGTATTTTATTAAAAGATTAGTTTATTTTAAAGTTAGAATCATGTGGTAATATATTGGTTAACAAAGTGTTTATTTTGTAAGGATAACCTTCAGTCGCTGTCTGGTACATTTTAACACCTACGTCCTGCTTTTTTGCTAAATTAATTTGTATTTTTATCTAACACGATGGCTTGTGCACACCGTTTTCAGGCCTGTAAGGATCATGAAAATACGTGAGACCTGGCCGGGTTCAACCGATCCAATCGATTAACAAAATAGACGGATACGTAAAGGCGGAAAACAAATAGCTACCTAAAAATTGGGTTCATTTGACGGTCCTGGTATGCAACCATCACAATGTAAATAGTTTAATTGTATTAGAACGACTACACCGCAAGTCGCAGGTATAAAATAATGCGGTTAACTTTCCACTTGTAGACTAAACGCAATGTGGTTCGGTCTTGACATGAGGTAAATCCAGTAAGACGTGTAAATAACCAAGTTAAAATCAATGTATTTTGTCCCCGCGAACCTCAATAACGATAAGACGCGACCTTTGGTAATTAATTATAACAAAAGTGACACATCTTACTTCCCGTGCTACTTCACCATGGTTAGTGGCCAAACACAGCTAGAGGTTTGGATGTTACAGAAAAAGCTCATTTTTCTGACCAAAATAGGCTTCTTTTCATTACATTATGAATCAATATCCTAAAGGTGTGTTTGGTATCTTCTAACTTGTACGATCATTTCCAGCGCTAAAGAAACATCTCTTTATCGGTTAGGTGCTTCCAACCAAAAGTTTTTATGAATTATAACTCACTGTTAAGGTCTATTACCATGTAAAAGAATGGCAGAAAATTTATTACTTTGTATACGTCATAAATTAATAGGTAATGACCTCAGCACTTCTTCTTCTTCAAGTGCCATCACCGATGCTGTGCTTGAAGCCATTTAAAAATTTGCTAAGAAGGCCTTTAGTTGTCTCCGCGGGGCACTTTTGCCAAGTATTCGAGATCTACCACTAAGAATAAGATTGTCCATCGAAGCAGCCGAAATATGGTTCTACCGGCAAAGACTCCGGTTTTCCTACATTGATCATGTTAGAAATTAAGACTCCGGTTTTCCTACATTGATCATGTTAGAAATTAAGAGGTCCTCAAACGGGGTGACCAAAACAGATTGCTCCTCAATACAGTAAGAGATAGACAACTGTAGTTCTTAGGCCACTCCATTAAAAAATAGGGACTGGAAAATCTTTGCCTTATCTCCTGGCTAATTAAGCTAAAACAAAGTTCAGAACGTCAGTTAATTTAGAGACAGTGTGATTCAACGGAAATACGTAGTTAACCACATTTAGTCATTTTTAATATTCACGTTGTATTGTGTACTTTTCACAGGTACATAATTTGAATATTATATTTGAAATATCTTTATACCAGTGTGCGATTTGTCACATAAACGAAAACATATAGAAGTGATGTTTTATGCGACTTTATCTCCTATCTATGGTAAAGATCGAATGGTCCTACGTAAACATATCGTTTTAGCAGAAGGGTTTGTCAGATGATCATAAGACGTTATATATACTTCATGTCCATTTTTCGGCAGTTAGGCAGATTATCATAGAACGTGACATGGCACTCCCTGACAACTTTCCGGAGTCTATATGTTGAAAGTTGCTTCTCTTTTTAATAATAATCCTCTATAAGCAACTAAAAGTTGTAGGGAAATGGTTATAATTCTATAAGGGATATAAAGGATTTTCACTGCAATGTTTCTTTTAGGTTATCAATTGTAACCTAACTTCGCAAATTTCGATGAATGACGAAGCGACAACGGATAATATTGATATCTTATTAATATACGCTGGTAAAACAATCGGTAATTGCAACATCGTAATTATTACTTCTGCGCAATCTACTTACATACAAGGAGGAATGTGAATGACCAAAATAAGGAAAGATTGTCTGCAGTTGAATTTCTTCCGAGCTCCCGTCATCGTTAACAGGCGCCATACTATCTCCGCTGGCATTGCCGTACGGAAAAAGGAGATCATTAGAAACTTGCGTTTGACCATCAGCAAATTGTGTCAAAACCACCCCGACAAAACAAAGGATGACGCGCGACCACGCCACAGGGTCTGCCATGTTGGTTCACCTGGATCAGGAAGTTTTGGAAGACGCTGTTGACGGTAACTTTACTTATCAGGAGCGTGAGGTCATGACTAGAGATTATTGCGCGGGCTGACTCACAATGTCATACTGTAGCTACGTAATCAGTATCTAAATGCATGTTATGGTCACAGTTTGCTTTTTGTGATGAAGTTTAATCTTAAATGTTTTTTGTTTTTTTTTTTTTTGTTTTTTTTTGCAAGATTTTGTTTGTTTTTTTTTATTGATTCATATATTCATCTTTTATCCTATTGTTTATGTATTATTTTCCTAGCTTATCCCTGGATTTGGGATATTTCATAATCGCCCTCAAAACGAAGTCGGCATTGGTCAGTGCCTACCTAACCTTTTTTTTGCAGAACACGTGCTTATCGCCAATAAAAAGCATCAACATGAAATATTACCAAATTACCCCTAGACTATGATATAAAAGCAAGTCTGTCCTCAATGATTTCTAAAATTTAAATTGGGATATCACAGGCTTTATATTTATATAGAGGACGTGTGGCTTATTACATATTTGTGTTTGCACCGTATTTTCTATAACTGAAGAGAAGTTTTAAATTGGTAATAATATTTTTGAATACATACAAATAATCTTATACTTCATGTTAAACGTGTTGATAACTACGGCGGTCAAAGTATGGAAACATGGGCTGGGGCAGGATTTCTTCGGAAAACCCGCCATCTTTTGGAGGAGGGCAGAATCTCCAACCGGGTCAATAATCAAAGAGAATATCAGCCAAAGTCTCGCTCTAGGGAAATACAGAGACACCGCAAAAAATTAAATCACAAGCAAAGCACAGCTGATTCCATGCCACTTTGAAAAAGGAAGTTAAATTCGTGCAGGCGCTGGCTTAATTATAATGCTATCTTATCTGAGTTTACGTTTGTCGTCATGGCAGCGCACCGTAAAGTAAATGATCTACAAATACGGTCTGTCAATGACGGATTTTAATTTAAATATTTGCACGTTTGATTTTTAACCTAACTAAAAATAGACTGCGTTTAAGGGGTATTACGATACACACTTAATGCCTGATAACATTGCTTTCTAAGAGAATGCATTTTTGTCGTGGTTCGTGTAAAACATTTGACTGTGCTCTGTAATCATATCGTCTAGCTTATCATGGATGCAACGGAATTGAATATTTGAATAACAGATAACACATTGCAAAAATATCAATCACCTAAAAATAATCACCTGTGGCAAAAGAAGTCACGAAAGCAAATGTTCTGCTTCGATTAAAATATGCACCACTCCGCATCCACACCGGACACCAGTCCACGTTCACCCTGGACACCATTCCACGCACACCCTGGACACCACTCCACGACCACCCGGACACCAGTCCACGTCCACCCCGGACACCACTCCACGCCCACCCGAACACCAGTCCACATCCACCCTGGACACCAGTCCAGGTCCATCCCGGACACCACTCCTTGTCCACCCTGGACACCAGTCCACGTCCACGTTCACCCTGGACACCACTCCACGCCCACCCTGGACACCAGTCCACATCCACCCCGGACACCACTCCACGTCCACCCCGGACACCACTCCACGCCCACCCTGGACACCAGTCCACGTCCATGTCCACCCCGGACACAACTCCACGTCCACCCCAGACACCACTCCACGCCCACCCCGGACACCACTCCACGCCCACTCCGGACACCAGTCCACATCCACCCCGGACACAACTCCACGTCCACCCCGGACACCACTCCACGTCCACCCCGGACACCACTCCACGCCCACCCCGGACACCAGTTCACGCCCACCCCGGACACCACTTTGCGCCCACCCGGACACCAGTCCACGTCCACCCCAGACACCAATTCGCAACCCACCCGGATACCACTCCACGCCCACCCCGGACACCAGTCCACGTCCACCCCGGACACCCCCCAACTGTGCCTAGGCCCTTCACAAGGTTTGTGACAGCGTCTCGTTTTCTAGGTGCAGCATTCAGGTACCCAATGAAATCACAGGGGTCTCATATATGTATATATATGTATATATATATATATATATATATATATATATATCCTGTTACAACATCAAGATCCGAAGATGGTGGATGGAAACAGTAGCGTTCATTTGACCAATTGTGCAGTCTCTAAGTCAAGGAAACCATTTTATCAGAGAAACAACAAGATAAGATACTGTAAAAGGATCTTTATTTTCATGTATCATAAAGCTTTGCCTTAATGTAATATTGAAAGAATAGATGACAATCATTTGGTTTGAATACATTGCAGGGACCATAAACTGTGAATTGTTTTGAGCATCTAGATTTTAGAGGCAGAGCTTATGAGATGGTGGAGGAACTATCAATGAAAATGTCACAAATAACACTGAAAAATAAATGCCTATTGATCAGCGTCAGTTATGTCAAACATTTGGATCTTGCGTACATTAAATGTATGAATTCCATGCATTGTATCACATTTCTATTGATTCTATATGAAAGTGAAGGACTTCACGAGAAGCGACATATTCCAGTTAGCTGCGCATGCACGTTAGGTGGATGAATTTCTAGGAACTTCAACAGGTAATAGACATACCAATTCTATTAATACACTAAAAATCCACAGCATTATTCTTTAACTAAATATTGCCTTTATTAAAAGCAACATCATTTTGAAATAGTAATAAGCTGCAGTGATGTACCCTCAAGACCAGCATTTAGACTTTAAGACTGCAGTAAGACTCTTACTCACTGCTCACTCACCCTAACATTCACAGCAGAGTATATTATCAGCTCAATGCTACAGTTTGCTTTCACATTAAATCACCTTTCAAAGCACTACATCCATAGATAGTTGAGATCAGTCCAGGCAATGACACAGTCTTTATATGTAACGGTGCCCAGCACTACCACCTCCAGTAGCAGATGGCTCTCCACAGGGCTTTCTCCACAGCTTCAGAGGTTTAAGAACCATCTGCTCTCTGTATTAACCACCTGCATTCTGTACAATTCCCAGTGTACATATATTCACATAGTTACAGATGCATTTTATACAAAATATACAGATATCAGACAGCCAAGTAACTGGCAATGTGGAACTAGTATCAAATCTATCTCCTAAGATTACACTCAATCACTAATGTTCCTGTGTGACATCTCATCTCTTGCTTTTCTTGTGTTTATGTTTGGAACGACTAGGTGACCTTGAGCCTGACCTTGACCTCATTTTCTTCTTATTGCTACTGCTGCTGCCACTTGGAGATCGCGACCTTGACCTAGGGGAAAATAGCGCATCTTTACTTTCCACTTTTCAAAGGCAAAGAACTAAAACCTCAGTTTGTGTGATTTGACTAAAAAAGGGTATTGCATAAAAAAATTCTATCATATGGGGACATTACTGACATAATTTTTAAAAGCCATAAAAACTTTAAGAATATGTCTAGAAGTGATACCTATGTCTTTTAGGTGGAGAGGCAGGTCTCTTTACTTTCCTATTAGGTGACCTTGAGTATGACCTCTTAGACAGGTCTCTGTAAGCTGCTGGGGGAGACACACTGCGGCTACGGCCTCTCTTCTTGTCCTGTTAGATAGAATATAGGACATATTGACAATGAACAGTATGATTAACATTACTGTAATTTGTCGCTGTTGTCATTCATGAGATGATGTCAACCCTGAAAGGTTGTACATAAAAAGAAGTGCTTACCCTGGAATATGAGCCTTCACTTTCACTGGAAGATGAACGAGACCTCTTTTCTTTTTCCTTCATTCGTTCCTTCTCTCTTTCTCTCGCTCTTTCCCATTCTTTTACTCTAATTCGTTCCTCCTCTCTCCGTTTTTCTCGCTCTATATCTCGTAGCCTGTCTTCCTCTTTTTCTCTCTCCTACAATACAACCAATAGAATTGATATGATTACTCATGACATAATATAACATACAGCATCAGGTTAGACATTTACCTAGAACTTGGGTGAGTACATAAAGACATGTTTAACATTATCAGTGGGCATGATGGGAATATCAAAAAGATTTGACAGACTGCACAGTGCGATTAAAGGGCCAACATGGATGTTTTGGTCATTTTCAGACTGATCTAAAAAAAATTAATTTATTTTGAAACATTAAATATTTCTACCTTGAAGATCACAGCCACAAGGCTAAAAATTCATTTATTTATCTAAGATTTTGTTCATCTTTAAAACAGGAACATAAATGTTAATATTTTCCCTCAGTGAGTTTACATTGCATGTATGGTTGTAAAAAAAGGATTCTCACCTTAGTTAATAATTTGTTCCTATAGTGCTGTATCTGTGATTGTATGTCCATATTGGGTTTCCTGCTTCTTCTACCTGACTCCAGCTCATCCTGGTACTTCATAACCTTCAACTGAAAACAAAATATACCATAGTTATCATCAACTTATAATTAACTTACATCATTAATAAACCTCGACTCTTAGACTATTAGTAATTATGCCCACAAATGATGACAAAAATTCCATCCATCGTCAGTGCATTGCTAGTTATGAAATTTTATCAAATATCTAAAATCTTTCCTTCTGATTTCCAAATCATCATACCTCAATTTCTCTGAGCTTTGCTCTTCTCTCCTCTGTCATTTCCAACTTGGGAGCATCTTGTACAGTGTCTCCCCCTGTTGACATGTCATCATCACTATCATCATTGGACTTGTCATCTTCTTCTAATGGCCTGGAATTCAGCAATATTTATGACCATTTATGATAACTTTGTATGCTCTTAAACAGCATCAAGGTATTGGAAAAAACAATTATTATAAACTTTCTCCAAAAACTCCATCAAGTACCTCAGAATTGTATAAATTCATAGTCACATGAAAGACTGTCATTCTTTAAACCAGACTAGAAAGAAAATGAAAACGAAAGATTCAGACAAGATATGCCTGATAAAGGAGGGAAAATATCCCCTTCATGCCTTCAAATGAAATCCCTACACTTAAAAACATTTCTCTGAGAGGCAGAACCTTTCTTTTCTGTACAATCCTACAGCAATTCCTACCACTGAAAGATGTCACTCACTTTCCATCTATGTCTTCCTCTTCTCCCTGCTTCTCCTGGTCTTCTTCATCTACAGGATCAAACATGTCCCATTTGGAGGTAGTCACAGCTGTGAACAGAGAAATGATATTGAATTATCAACATGTCCCATTTGGAGGTAGTCACAGCTGTGAACAGAGAAGTGATATTGAATTATCAACATACAAGCTTACATACCTTGTGCTCTGACTTCTTCTTCATCCACCTCTTCCCACTTTGACTTGACAAACTTAGGAGGTGAGGGAGCCTGCTCAAAGTCTAACGGCCTGCCATCAATGTCCTCCCCAGACTTATCCACTGAAATACAAACAAAACACCCATAATTCAGGGAAGAACATAAATTTTAACAAAAAAGGAAACATATAAATATAATTAAGAGAAAGGAAATGGTTGAATATTGCTGAACACTTGAAACACTGCATTTGAATAAGGTTTTAATTATCTTTCCAAGGTGTTGTTGGGATATTTTAATCTTTCTGAAATATTAACAAATATCACACAAAGACCATCTGAAAGACTGTAAAATAATTTGAAAATACCCAGCATAATCTTATCAATAAAAGTGCTGTATAAAATCAAGTGGTGTCCCACTCACAAGGCATTCCATCCAGGTCGTCACTGTATGGAACACCTTCATAGTCTCCTCGTGCCTCTGGGAGAGGGGCGCCATCTAGGTCAATAGGAGCCCCATCCAAGTCTGGAAGAGGTGCACCATCTAATTCCTCCTCCTTTGACTCCGCCTGTGAAATATGATACTGTAATAACTATCATTTATTTTCTTTATCGTGAAAAACTGAAACATGGCGAGTAGAAGCTCAAGCAGCTTTTATATAATACACCATCTCTTTTTACTACAGCCACGCACTGCAGTTCCAATCTTTAAATATTGTTATCAGCTGCTTTAAAAGGTCACACTTGTCCAGAGAGCCAGATCTAGGAATATATTTTGTAGTTTAATCAGGAAGTCATTAGGATACTCACCATGTCATCCTTGTCTAGAGGAACCAGACCTAGGAATATATTCTGTAGTTTGATCAGGAAGTCATTAGGATATACGGCCCAGTCCTCCCATGCACGGAAACATGCCATCACTTTTTGCTGGAAGGTGAAATCAGATTCAAATAATTTTTCCCATGAAATTCCAACATGGAATACAGTCCATGAGACCAGAGTCTGAAGTTGTGCACTTCAAAATATGACATTGTCAGTTATTATTCTCTTCTGAAATACAAGCTTGGGTTCTGAAGGGAAATCTTGCTCTCTCTGTGAGATGCTTTTGTGGAATTATGTACAAAATGCCCATTATATTTAATTCTCTTCTATAAACAGAAACTGGGATGTGGCTCACCTTGAACTGTTCAGCTTTCAGCCTGCCATCTATATTATCATAGGAGTCGTGAACGTCTCTAAAGATTTCTGGAAGTTTGGATTCAAAACTGAAAGAAAAGAATAGTGTACAATAACATTTTTTTAAAAACATTTGAGTGTACATTGTTATTGTAAATGTTATCTCTGGTAGAGATTTGAACAAAGTAATGTAAAAGTCTTGTCAGACATTAATAATACACAAAAACTCTTCTGCTCATGGCAGGTATCAGAGGATATCTATTTCATTCACTGCAGATTTCCACTTAATCCTCTTCCAAGATAAATACACACAATGCACAGCAGTGCAGATATACTTACTATTTTCTATAAAAAGAGGCATTGGGAACCTTGGCACTACAGTTATGAAGAATGTCTGACACCAAAAACAACCTGGCAATCTGGAAAAGAAACAATTAGATGAAGTTTATTTCTTTTAAGTTAAGACATCAGGTCTACATTCACTATATCTGCATGTCTGGTCTATTNCTCATTTAAGTGCAGGGGAAACACTGCATATCAAACATCCTTTATATTCATATAAATTCATATTTATTATTATTATTAATACGTTATTTATATCTCTAACCTGGTTCCTCCAAGTCACTGTCATCAAGCAAAGCTTGGAGTTCTGCTTCTGTGAGATCTTGTTTGCTTTCACCGAAAATATTCTCATCATCTGTAGCATTCTGTGAAAGAACTCCCATTTCTGCCTCACTTTCCTTAGTAAATGAGTTGCCCTCAGGCTCTTTGTCCCCACCATTTGTCTTAGTTGTAAAATTGGTACTCTTGTCTCTGGTTGCATCCGTAAAATGGTCATTTTTCTCAGTTTTAGTCCTAGTGTCGTTGTTGTTTATAACAGAGGCATCAGATGGAGTAGTTTGAATAGGCTGCTCACTGGCCTCGTCTTCCAGGTCTGAATCTTCTTCTAAAAATGCTGTCAGTTCATCAAGATCACATTCATCACCTAAGGTGAAGAAATTAATAAAAAAAGGGAAAACAAGTTTATGGACCAGTAATCCAAGTTTATCACTATCTCATTTCAGTATTTTTTTACTACAGTAGTTATAAATAATACTACAATTGACAATCATAACCTTAAAAAATATATATATCTCATAAAGAGTAAAAACCACGATGCCATCCTAAGAAAGTATATCAGAAGAGATGTCAGTATATGTACATGTATGCAGACAAAATGGAAAAGGATACATAATAGGTAAAAAATATACAAAATGCTCATAATAAATGGATTTTTAACATTACCTGACATTGTTATATCTTTCTCTTCCAGTATCAGATTCCAATTTGCAATAAGTTTAAAATACTTGACCTCTAAATGCGAACTGTAAAAGTATGTGCCTGCAAGAAATATAAATTGCCTTGAAGTAACAGTTGAATAAAATCCCATTACCCAACAAACCAAATAAAGATAAACAGATGGCTAATTTTTTCTTTTAAAAACATTTTGGGGGGCAGTGATTTAAGTCTTATGGTCCTCTGATGTGTGCTTAAACATCAATGAAGATAAAATTGTTTTGTGTGAGTTTTTAAACTTACTATGATCGTTAGAGGTTATCCAGTACAATGTACAGTTCCAGTGTATTAAGTACTGTACTTTCACCGGCCTACAGTACGTTCATAACTGCATTAAGCACGTAAAACAACGATCCAGCTATCATAATATATTTTTGGGTTATTATCATCTATCATATAACATTCCCCACGAAGATATAATCGTTTTGGGATCGTATTTCGAGACTTATTAATCAAAAAACGTATATTCCTCATACTTACCTAAATAGTATCTCCCGCCAAGTCAGAAGATGGCAGTAATCATAGACAATAGTTTTTGTTATGTATTCCTAACAAAATTTGACATCAATATTAATTAGTCTCTGTTATTTTCCTAGTTAATATTTTAGATTAATAAGCTGCATTTATTTCAGCAAAAATTTATAAACTTTTGAATTATTTATAGTTGTCAAAATTTCGAAACTAAAATCTATTTTTGATAACGAGTCAACATGTGAAGATGCAGGAAACGCCATAATTCAGAATGTGAAACTGTACTTCAAATCATTGGCCTGTTTGGCTTAGTTGCGACCTAAACCGGTCTTTAGAATGATGCAGACTGTGTAAAGGCAAGGTACCACGCATTATTTAGTACTTCATTTATTATTTTGTGTGGCTTTAGTGTGGTACACAAGGTATGTTTACAGCTGTAATTTCTCTCTGCCACCGACGGCACAGTGCAAAAAATGAAAACAAAATACGTGTAGCTGGCATCAACCCATGAATAAAGTCAACAGCAATGGACAGCATTTCCAAAAGTTTAATGAATTAATATAATCAGCGTTTTAAGAACAAGAATTTTGAATTGGAATCGAAAGCATGTTTCTTTATTGGGTTGTAAATACCAGTCCAATGTTCAACACTGCGCTTGCCCTCCAGTACAGTGTATCTCTCTTTGCTTTATATCATTATAGAATAACTTAACAACAACCAAATGCCACCATGTCAATGAGGAATCTTTTACCATAACCTGAGTGTCTCATTTCAGTCCAAAAACTGAATTACAATAATCTGTGCACAGAAAGTTGACCAGTGGAAAAAGCCACAACTCTCACTGATATGGTCATGTTTCAGACGTTTTGATACAGCTTACCATGGATGAACAGGCTGAGGTTGCTGTGGGTAAGACTGAGGTAGACAGCAGTAGCAGAAATGATTCACCAGACAAAGGGAGGACTAGCACAAACTATGGCAAACGTGAATGGACGAGAAGTGATCGCAGGGGACAGGGGTGGCAGGGAGGGGGAAATGGGGGAAAGAATGATCAGAGAAAAGAAGAAAGCAAGAAAGAAGGGCAGGATGTAAGTTGACGTTTTTTATATTCCATTTGTAATTCATTTTAATCATGCATGTATTTAATAAAGAGAAAAACTGTGTACATGTATTTACATGCTCTGTTGTTTCTTAATCGCCCAGTGTCAAATGCCAGTAAAATTGAAGGTAAGCTTGCAAAATTGTGAAAACTTTGTTAAGTTACTGGCCACTTTTTCTGCTTTGGACCATTGATTCAAGATGAGTGTCTGGTTGAGTTAAGGGCCAGTTGAATATGATTTTTTTTGAAAAATTATATCATGCTTTAAGTCTCATGTCAGAATTTTTAACCAGTGATTAACTGTACAAATCAATTCTATCTAATGACATTTTCACATTTTAAATTTTCTTATATTGCATTTAAATTGTTAACTGAGTTTATTTATTCATTAAATATTCATTTATATCTGAAGGATAAAAGTAACTCGGGTCCCAGACGCCCGGAGCTAAGATTTCCACGTAAAAAAGATGGTGATAAACCAGCCTCCAGGGTCACAAAGTCTGAGCAAAGCAGTGACAAGAAGTTGGACAGGGAGGTGAGGACCTTAAAGGATATTAATAGATTATGGCTTCGTTCACATGAAAAATCTATTTTCTAAAAATCTATTTTCTATTCGCGGTATCTTGTGATCAGGGTCTGTGCCCTGAATACCCCATGGCGTAATTACTGGCAGCGTGAGCCAGTTACTTCCAAAGCTGTAATTAATTCTCGGCTGCGCTCGGAGTGATCACAAGATACCCCGAATAGAAAATAGATTTTTAGAAAATAGATTTTTCATGTGAACGGAGTCTATATGTGGATGGCACATGTGCAAAATTATTTTTTGTATAACATTTATTTCTGCCCATTGTAAACAGAATTTATATCTTAAGACGAAAAACTTTCATACTGTTATCTTATGGCCAACCTAGACATAGGCCTTCATCAGACTGATGTGAGTAGATGTTCTTACGGTTTACCATAAGCTAATGTTGTGAAAGTTTTTGACTTTTGTGTGATAGTTTTCATTTTTGATCCAACTACTAAGCTAATGAACATTTCTGCTCATAATTTTTTAATTATTAATAAATTAAAGGGATAATAACTCTTCGTTTTGGCAAAAAAAAGAATTTTCCTGGAGTAAACAACAATTTTCCCATACTTACCAATGGTTAATGAATCCATTTTTACATTCAAAGTTAGTCCCTGGTTTTTTTCTAAAAAGTTTTTTTGTTAAAATCTCTTAAGAGATTATAACAGAGTATAGCTATCAATGGAGGTCACGTGGTCTAAAGACAAGCTCAGATATCAGAATAATAGCTTTAACTGCCGTTTTTGTGGTACAACAGAATATATTATATTTCTGTGAGTTGTTCACAATATTTTCATTGTGAAATATAGATCTTATACAAAGAGTTATTATTATCCCTTTAACTTCTGAACTTTTGTTAATTGCATAACCATTTGCTTTAGAGTCCTGCCAATGCTAATGCCAAAGGTGATGGTAGAGATGTAGGAAGAGGAAGTCCAAGTAAAAGTTACAGAGACAGCAGGCCACAGAGAGGGGGAAGAAGAGGGACTGAGACAGCGGAAAAGACTGGCAGGTAATATATTTATGATGATTATGAGGTCCTGATCATGCTGACATGTATAATTTGGTGGTATTTTTTCATGGGTCTTATCATGTATGTATGCTACTGTTTTTTTTTTTCACTTTTCATTATTTATGGGCATAAGGTAGATAGAAGTTGATCTAGAAATGCCATTTGACAAAAGGAACACCAGATTGTTGCTGAGACATTGAGTATGGAGTATAAGATGAGCTGCAACTCAGGGGCGGATTTAGGGTGTCTTCTGGGTCTTCCGGAAGACGATCAGATTTTCATGTTTACATTGACTGGTATCTAATATTTTCTGTCGGAAGACGGTCAAAAAATGGAGGATGGATTAACAAAGATAATTTGGAAGACTGTCAGAAAATATCTTTGGATCTGCCCCTGCAACTATTCATACATAATCAAATATGGTCATGTAACATCAACATTATTTTCTCACCTTCCAGTCCAGGCAGCTGTAAGCCAAGTGTCCCCTCAAACAGTGAATCCTCAATAGGTGACAGTGATGGGCAAACTGGTGCTGACTCAGTAGAACAGCTAAAGGGGTAAGGACATGTTCTCGGTGTGGGTTGGGGTGTTTAATTTTACATTTATTTTAATTGGTCGTCTTCAATGTTTGAAGGATTACAGGTTTTTCAAATTCTGGGGTTGTGTCTCAAATTCTTTACGGTACTTATACTGTGACAGCACTTGTTATAGTGAACATGTGGATATGTACAAGCAGACTTGCATACACACTCATGCATGCACATGCACACACACACACACACACACACACTCACACATGCATGTTTTGTATCCAGGCAGCTTTCATGAGATTAATTTTACTTACTTCCAGTGCTGCTNTAAAGAATTACTCAGGGGATGAGAGTTCCAGACTTCTCAATGTTGTACCCCCCCTCCCCCCCTTCCCCCTCTGAACACACACTTGAGATGGACTTTAAAATTTTTTTCAGTATAGACATCTAACAAACCCTACAGTCACAACAGACAAACTACTGATGTAATCAAGAAAATGTGATATTTTTTGACTCACCTTTTTAGGGATAGGAGTCTGTAATATGGACAAAGCCTCCGTAATGCATTCAACGACCTCCTCGGCAGACTCTGCATGTTCCAGACACCAGACCATAGCGTCCCCTATCTTCCATCTTTCTGGCGTCAGGTCGCGCAGCATGTCCTCCAGACGATCTCGCTGGCTGTAATATAACACAAGATAACGACACAATATGACAGCAGATCTCTCAACTATTTTACACTCAGTGAGTGTTTTCTACACAGCATAAGGTTTGTTCAACTGCTTCCTTTAAAATTTAACATCTTTTCTCCCCCCTGACTTTCACCCAAACAAAATCAGATTCTTATAAGCAATTCTTTGAAAATTTAATTGGTGAATAAAAACTATTAATATGATATAAACTAAACATACATGCTACAAGAGCTTGCATTGCAATTCTAAAACTCAGTCAAGAGGTTGCTTTGTATTTATCCATCAAAATTACAGTAAGATCATGTGACTTGGTATGGGATACAAAGATCATGTGACTCTCACCTATCTGTGAGTTGTCCTCTCTTGGGCTGGTCTCCCATCTCCTGGACCAACTCCTCAGGCATCCCCTGGGTGTAGGTGTTCACTGGGGGAGGCTTCCAGAAGGAACCACCTTTAAACATACGGAATTTCTCTGTGCTCCATTTGTGTGGGGAGTCACCCTGTAGGAAACATGGTGAATTTTAGATGATGAAACTGGTGGAAACATGGTGAAATATAACATTGTGGAAATAAGATTATACAGAAGATTTAAGAAACGAAAGCCCAGGAGGACATCAGTTTAATCCTTCTGTGCACACATATATACACACATGCACCACATGCCGTAAACACCATCATCAGTTGACAAACCTCTCTTAAAAGACAATTTGATACAATTTCAAACTCTGCAGTAAGGGTACATTACATAAACTGGTAGGATAACATCAAGAGTATCTACTTACTTGTAGAATTGAGAACAATTTCCACCTGTAATACACATGGGCTGGACTCTGGTTCTCAAACAGGAATCTGAAAGTAACTGGCAATGTTTACCTTGGAATGGAGGGCTTTTATGTGAATGATCCTGAATTCAAACTCTCTTTCTCTTCCTCTCTCCCTCTCAGTTATAAAGAGACAAGCATTAAGTCACCTAAGCATAGGGTTACTCGGCTGTTTTATTCTCTCTCTCTCTCTCTCTCTCTCTCTCTCTCTCTCAGTAATAAGTATTCCCTCACCTGAACATGGGGTTACTGAGCTCTCTGTTCATGACCATGGCCTCAAACATGGGACCTTCACGCACCACAAACTCTATCATACGGTGGATAACACACAGCAGGTTCCTGAAATAAACAGATCTTATGGCACGGCCCTGACACATAGCCAGGATACTTTTAACAGATATAGGTCATATACATAATAATTATAGCACTGAGTGCCACAACAGCTGAACTACTTATCACTATCCCTACAATCATGTTTATAGTACTCTTTTCATGCATTCTTTGTAAGCATTAATTGGACTAATAATGACTTCTTTTTTCCTACTTTTAGGAGTGGTGGGTGGGAGGATACATGTGTACAAAAGAAAACATTTTTGTAGGGCTTAAGTTACTCTGGGTCATATTGGAGAGAAAACCAAAAAAAATATTCCAAACTTAAAAAATGCCAATCTTTCTGTTGCGTAAAAAAGTTGAGTTTACAATATTTTCTTCCCTGATACAAAATGAAAGAAACGCGACTCATCAACTGTATAAACCACATTTGCCTATTTTCAGTACTGTAACACTTAAGTTATCTAAACCATAAACTGACATTTTGTGGTAAAAAATAGAATCCAGCTATTCCATATTAAATTTATAGAGTTGTAAATATTAAAAGCAACCATTTATTGGTACAAATCCATCATTGTTGGTTTCAATATCGGCAGTCCTTTGGTGTGGCTTCCTGCGTGGAGATATACGTACCTTCCTGGATCCTCAGAGCTGGTCTATGGTGCCGTGAAAGTGGGGGCTACCTGTAGGCATGAAGGACTCCCCAAGGGTCAATTCAGGGTCAAAGGTCAAGGTAATACCAAAAATTATTCAGTCAAGGTCAAATAGGTGTCTATGAAAGACTAGCCTGGGGCACTTCAGTCGCTTAGCAAATGGAAAGTCAACCAAAATTGAAGTGGACAAATTTGGAGGCCAAAAAGATTCAGAGTCAATTTACCCTGAACTGGACATTTAATCATGAACTTTGTAAGGCATCCCCTTGAGAAGTCCTGGAATACTTACGCCAATTGGTAAAAATAGACATTACCTTTCTGTAGGGATAACCACTTTCACAACTGCATTCGCTAACGTCTGTGAGAGGGACGACGGAAAAATGCAATGATAACTGCATTATTTCATGCTTAACACATTTGATGACGAAATAAAAAATAAAAATTTGCTATGAAAAAAAAAATTAGTGGTAAAACAGGTGGTAAAATTCAATGTTTTTGCTTTTACAAATATGACTGGCTAAGCTCTAAAAAGGGTCTAAATTTCACAAAACTATTTCCTGCTTGTTAAAACAGTCAATGCATTATAAGAGATGTTAAGAGTTAAAATTTTGACATCAGGGCTAGCCAGCCATCTTGTTTTCCTTCTCACCTTATCCATTTCCTCTGGGTTTGTAGGCGGAGTTGGGAGAAGGGGCTCTCTTGGCATGTTGACCCCTGGTGGAGGAATTGCAGCTCCATATTTTGCAGCAGGGTTTTGATTGGAGTTGGCTGGCCTCTTTTTGGGCTGAGCATTGAAAGGGAGGCCAGAGGGTGGAGGAGGGAGGGTGAGTTCAGCCAGAGAGGGTGGGATATAGACAGGATGTGGAGGGATAGGAACTGCCTTCCCCCAGCCCAGCTTCATCTCAAACCCCATGATTTCCTTGCCTGCAATGTCAAGGAGAATACAAGTAGTGAATACAGAACTTTCACCACAGGGTAAAATTTGAGAGAAAATGTTACAAAAAAATCAACAGGCAATTTACAATAAAAAAATGTCCAAACAACATGCTCATGACTTATAACCGCCATATTTTATTTTGCCACATCCTTATCTTCTTATCTTACTCTCTTTTTCATCTCATCCCCTTCCATATTTTGTCCATTTACCTTTGAGTGCATTAAGACACCTCTCTCCGTCCTTTCTGTTCATGAAGGCCACAAAGCCACAGTTCCTGCCTCGTGACCGTTCCTCATCCGACCTCGGCCACATGATCTTCACACTGGCTAGAGGACCATAGCGACCAAACAACTCACACAGCTGCTGCTCTGACATCTGCAAGTCCAAGATATTTCAATATTATACCAAGGGATATTTTAACAAGGCTCACTGTGCATAATAATTTTGTACTCTAGTGAAAGCCTGTATTCTCCTGCTAAGTACACAATGACTTGGCTTCTGTGAGGACATAAGGTCAAGAAGTCTTCTCATTTTCTAACTCACTTCTTTCACAAGTTATCAACTAATTTAGAGAGTTTTTGTTTTTATGTTTCCTTTATTTTTTTTTTTGTTTTTATAAACTGTTCAAAACTTTCTCCTAGTCATGTCATTAAAATAATAAGCTGTAATGGTATATGTTTTTTTATTTCAAAAAGATTTCGTAAATAAATAAGATTTTATAAATCTATCATTCTTGTGTCTTGGGCACTTCATGGCCAGCTCCTAAGCATATTTCCAGAGAAATAACAAGACAACCAAATACTTACATTAGGATGCAAGTTGCCCAGATAAAGATTGGTCGTCTCTCTATCATTGTCATACATTAAATTTTTTTCATCTGGAAAAACACAATATATGCAGATCAAGANTTCATCTCATCCCCTTCCATATTTTATTCTCCATTTACCTTTGAGTGCATTAAGACACCTCTCTCCATCCTTTCTGTTCATGAAGGCCACAAAGCCACAGTTCCTGCCTCGTGACCGCTCCTCATCCGACCTCGGCCACATGATCTTCACACTGGCTAGAGGACCATAGCGACCAAACAACTCACACAGCTGCTGCTCTGACATCTGCAAGTCCAAGATATTTCAATATTATACCAAGGGATATTTTAACAAGGCTCACTGTGCATAATAATTTTGTACTCTAGTGAAAGCCTGTATTCTCCTGCTAAGTACACAATGACTTGGCTTCTGTGAGGACATAAGGTCAAGAAGTCTTCTCATTTTCTAACTCACTTCTTTCACAAGTTATCAACTAATTTAGAGTTTTTTTTTCTTTTTTTTTTTTTTATAAATCCGTTCAAAACTTTCTCCTAGTCATGTCAATAAAAAAATAAGCTGTAATGGTATATTTTTTTTTATTTCAAAAATATTTCATAAATAAATAAGATTTTATAAATCTATCATTCTTGCGTCTTGGGCACTTCATGGCCAGCTCCTAAGAATATTTCCAGAGAAATAACAAGACAACCAAATACTTACATTAGGATGCAAGTTGCCCAGATAAAGATTGGTCGTCTCTCTATCATTGTCATACATAAAATTTTTTTCATCTGAAATAACACAATATATGCAGATCAAGATTTATCTTTGTCTTTTTAAATTATCAATTTATTACTTACTATAAAAACTGTTGTATATCATATTATTTTACACTTTTACAAACACATTCAACAGCAGTCTACTTAAACTGATTATTGTTGATATATTTCCCTACCACCAAATATATTGGAAGGTCTTCCAAATGGAGACACCTCAGGAGGCTCTAAGTGGCTGACAGAGGCCGGCGGAAGACCTTGGTCCACGGCCATGTCACGTAGCTGCTTCTTGATCTTGTGCCTCTCTTGTCTCTCTTCCTGAATCCTGGAAGAAAGCAAAGTTGAACTCTTAAGAGAGGTCTGAAAACTCCCTGTAATAATATCCCTGGACCAACAGTGCTGGACCAACACAGCCAGTGGTCTGAGAGCTGGACACCACACAGGACCAACAGTGCTGGACCAACACAGCCAGTGGTCTGAGAGCTGGACACCACACAGGACAGCATGATTACCTTGTCTAGTACACACCTAACTTAAAGTAACAGACTCAATTTTGTTTAGAAGTTTGTATCTAAACGTGGATTATTCATGGTACAACTGACTCCTGATTTAGGACATCTGCAGTCATCTGTGCACAGAGAAAACACAAACTGCTGCTTACATTTTTAGTTCTTCTTTAAAAAGTTCCAAATTTGTTTTCTTTTTCTCTGCTTCTTTCTTTTTCTTCAGTGACATTGGCTGTAAAAATAAGGAAAAAATTATCATGAAAAAAAATCTCTTTCTAAACAAAATGCAAAGATCACTTTTTCATAGCTCTATTCTTATTAAAACCTGGGATCAAATAATTAATAGAATCAAACTAAGTTTGCTTATCAAAAATGAAAATATGTATATTCCATTCATATAATTGTATTTGGGCATATTAAAGAAGTTTAACATGAGAAAGTCAAGTCTGCACCTTTTCCAAAAATGTTCTTTCATTTTCAAAATAGAAAGAACCTACTGTGAAAAATATATACAATGTTGTATTGTTCACAAATACTAACTTGTTTGCCTGACCCTTTCTTCGTGTTTTTAATTGTTAAATTGTGGAACACATAACTTAAAACTGTGTGCTCTTACCCTCTCCTCTTCTGAGTCATTTCTGTTCTTCTTCTGAGCATCTTTCACAGACTGGAAGGTGGAAGCCAACTCGGCCAGCTTGGAGGTGGGTTTGTACAGTCGGCTTTTTTCTTGGGCACTGGCATCAGCTGTAACATAGTAAAGTTAGAGGTTAAATACTTTCATGTCTTATAAAACTAAAATCAATTTCACTGGCAAAGTTGAAGACTGCTTATTCCTATCTGTTGGACTTGATGAACACATGGAATACTGGTCATGCTTGAAGTTTGGACATGCTTTACAAGCAACCTTAACTGAATATGCTTCAAACTGCACCGTAACTTGTTGTGAAGTTATAAAATTCCCAGTGTCTAAGTCCACCTCCCAGCCTGCACCACTCCTCCCTTACTTACTGCTTCCCTTCCCAGCCTGCACCACTCCTCCCTTACTTACTGCTTCCCTTCCCAGCCTGCACCACTCCTCCCTTACTTACTGCTTCCCTTCCCAGTCTGCACCACTCCTCCCTTACTTACTGCTTCCCTTCCCAGTCTGCACCACTCCTCCCTTACTTACTGCTTCCCTTCCCAGCCTGCACCACTCCTCCCTTACTTACTGCTTCCCTTCCCAGCCTGCACCACTCCTCCCTTACTTACTGCTTCCCTTCCCAGCCTGCACCACTCCTCCCTTACTTACTGCTTCCCTTCCCAGTCTCCACCACTCCTTCCTTACTTACTGCTTCCCTTCCCAGTCTGCACCACTCCTCCCTTACTTACTGCTTCCCTTCCCAGCCTGCACCACTCCTCCCTTACTTATTGCTTCCCTTCCCAGCCTGCACCACTCCTCCCTTACTTACTGCTTCCCTTCCCAGCCTGCACCACTCCTCCCTTCACCCAGGTCCTACTTCCTTTGGCTGGCTCCTGGAATGCTGCTACAAACTCCTCATAAACCTGTGCGGCAGCTTCTTGCTCTTGCTAAAATAGTGAAGCAAATACAAATTATTTTCATGTATTATTGCAAAGATAAATTTTATCTTCATTTGATCTGTATTTTATATTCTGGGCAACTAAATGCTAGTATTGAACACTGGCTTTCATTTTTCAACTAATTAAAAAATCAACTGAAGACAATTTAATCCCTTAAAATGAAATGAATCCATCAATATGAAACATTACATAGTAAATCAAAGCACATTACAGAAGAAAAAAAAACAGTTGCTGAATGGGGTCTGCATTCTAGAAGAAAATTTAATTTTTGGATGTTATGGTGGTCTCTAAGTACCTTTTTCTTCATCTCCTCTTGTTCTTTCTTTGTCATTCCTTTCTTAGGTAAGTTCATGCTGCCAATGTTAAATGCCTTCAGTTTGCTTTCTGATATGTTCTAAAGTAAAATAAATGATAAATTTACTAAAATTAAAATTCAAAAACAAATGAAAATTTCTGACATATGAAACAAGTAATTTTAAACATCATATTTCAAGTACATGGGTTTTTGATACAAAAAGTATTTTAATGCCATCAACAATTCTACAAGACTTGGCCTTGCAGAGTTCCATATACAAGAATGTATAATCCTCAAATATTAGATTAGTTTATTTTTTCATTGAAGAATGTTGGTAAAATATATTTAAAAAATATATATATATTTAAAGGAAATGTACACATACCTTCTGTTTATCTTTAAAAGACTGCAAAACAAATAAAATAATTATCTAGTATAATTCATAATAAATAAAGACACATCACAAATGTCATGATCTAAACATATCAGCACTTCAGAGTCATCGATACATGCAATGAGGTGTACAGTTTAGGCGGGGAACTGTAACACATGCAGTCATTTAAAAAAAAACTATTTTCTCCTCATCTTATATTGAAGCATTCAAGCAGACATGTCAAAAATATTACATAATTCTTAATTCTTATTTTGTTAAGTATAAGCCAATCGTATCAATAGAGCTAAAGCGCCCACATGTGAGCAGTTACTTTTATTTCTTCGGCGTTGATGACAACATATTGGTCCGAGTTTTAAGTAATTTTATGCAAGTGATCTGACCCGATAATTATATGCAATGTTTTGTAGTAATTATTCAGAGTGTTTACACGCCATAAAAACAGCTTTACCTTCATGGCTCCCGGAGAAATCCCCTCAGACTTCAGCCCCCACGGGAGCTTTTCGGAGGCCATTTTGTCTTGCACACTTTGTTCTATAGCTATTTAAGCACGCAAATATTTGATATACATCAAGTCTTGATTATAGTATGAATATAGTTATAAGGCAGTCAGTATTTTAACATCACTTTGAATATATTTATTTATCCTAAAATATATTATTATATGTTTTTGCCTTTCCATACATAAAACTTTGTTAAAACAATCAATCAACGGTACGTCACGCGTAAGTCTTATTAAAGACAAGACAAATTACAAAATATTTCATAAGAACGGATATGGGGTTTCATTCACTTCAAAACCATACCAATAAATTTTAGATTACCTAAGGGAAAAAATCAGAATCATAAGATATGTTCATAATGTTACATTTTTGTAATAAGTATACAAAAATCTTAATAATATATTACCAAAAGGTGGCGCTGATTATCGCGGGGAAAAAACTGCTATCCGATACAGCACCCGGCACGTTGCGGAGCCAGGTGTAAACAGAGAGTAAAGGATGATGATTTAGACCTGCAAGATGAAACTGGTAATGCTATATTTAAGCCTTGATATTTGCCATATAATAATATATTTATGCCTTGATATTTGACATATAATTAGAATAATGGATCTTACTCAGATTAACAGCAACATTTGGAAAGTAGCAACAACCCCTAAAGTTACATTGAAGGTAAAATTGTGTTAAAAACGTTAACAGTGTCTGTATAACAGTGTTCACCACTATTTCAGTATTGTCTGTCCCATGCTGCCAGGCATCCCTGCTTCATCCTCAAGTTCAAGACAGTGACCTTAATGTTGGACTGTGGTTTGGATTACAGCTCACTTCTCCATTTCCTGCCTTTATCTTTAGTACAGAGGTGGGAAGAAATTTTTAAGCACTTTTGTGTTGTAATTTTACTTTTGGATCATGTACTTTGCAACTTGTAAAACATATTAATTAGGTTTCTGAATCATTCATTCTGTTTTAAAGAACTATAGCAGTTACTGTACTAGTACAGTACGTGTATCATGTCAGACCATTTATTTGAAAACCAAAATCAACTTTTTCTTTCTTAAGCTCCCGGTGGTCAGATTTACCAAAATGGAAGCCCAAAGAATACAAAGGACCCTATAAATTAGAAGGTGTAAGTTTATAGTTATACATCACCCTCTATGTTAGAAATGTTTTTCATCAAAATATTTTTATTGCTTCAGTTATGTAAACCTTGCAGCAAATATTTTTATTGCAGATTATAACATTTTCTAAAATTTAAATTAATAATTACTTAATATATTGCAGTAGAGTTCTAATTTGTTGGATGTAGAACATATAGTAGAAGGTGCTGGTGTTGGTGCTGTTTATTCTAGGAGCTGAGAGAATGTGCTGGTAGAGTGTTTGTAGACAGTGTCCCAGAATTCAATGTACCAAAGGTAAATGTTATACACAGTCACTGGTCAACATCAACCTTCTTGTTGTCATATCTTTGTAGGCAAAATAGTACTGAATTTTTAAGTATTTGTGTGGAGATATTATGGTGTGGTGATTAAGATACATATTTTCTCAGGTTATGTTGTGACAAATTTAGTAGATTGATAGTTATCTCTAGATTGGGCTGTTCAACCATATTGAAATGACCCAGGTATGATGTCAGCCATGTTTTATGTTCAGATAACGCTGGTGGACCTGTCAGAGGTGGATGTCATCCTCGTCTCCAACAGTCATGCCATGTTGGCGCTCCCTTACGTCACTGAGTATTCTGGATTCAAGGGTGTTGTCTATGCCACTGAACCCACTCTGCAAGCAGGCAGGTAATAGAGGGGGCACAGGCTGTTTGGTTATTGTTTATAACTGATACTTAAAGTTACAGTGTGTGCTTGTTTCCACTATGTGCATGTGTGTGTTTGGTAGTGTTTTTGTGTGTGTGTGTGTGGGGGGGGGGTCTATGAAAGTTTTAGTTGTGAGACAAGATTTATTTGTAACTGTCTCACAAAATGGTGCACTTCTCTGTAAAGATGACTCTTTTATTCATCTTGTATCTGTTCTCCTTGCAGACAGTTCATGGAAGAGTTGGTGCAGTACATAGACAGGTGTCCCAAGGTAAACCACGCCAGCGTATGGAAGCAACCAGAGGTCATCAAGTACGTCTGGATTTTCACTGATTTCTGTCATCAATTGGCCAAGCTTAAATGTGACTGTAAATTGTAGTAACCTAGAAACAGTGTTTTATTTGTAGAAGATATGACTATACTTTTAAAATTGAAATGGAATTTTTGTTTAAGTAGTTTTAACTACTAAAAAATTAAAATAAGAGTTTTGTCAATTTACTTGTATGTCTTTTGCATGAATGTAGATATGATGACACATTTAAGATGCTGATTTGCGTCTTTGCCCAATAACTTTGCCAATGAATGCATTTAAGGACCTGGTTGTTTCTTCTACTTGTCAGATGTTTACCTCCTCCCTTAAAAGATGCCATACAACCGTTGTCATGGAAACAGTGTTATAGCCTGCATGACGTCAATGCTAGCTTGTCAAAGGTTCACATGGTGAACTTTAATGAGAAATTGGTAGGTTACACCTTACCTGGCAAAACTTTAATGAGAAATTGGTAGGTTACACCTTACCTGGCAAAACTTTAATGAGAAATTGGTAGGTTACTCTTTACCTGGCAAAACTTGAATGAGAAATTGGTAGGTTACACTTTACCTGGCAGAAACTAAACTGGTACTACTAGTGTACAATGGGAATCTTCTGAAAGATCAGTTGTGCATTTTCAGTTCACTTAGAGTTGTAAAACTATTTGGTCATAATGTATAAAAACTAAGGTTATTGAGGATATTGTTCATTCGATAAGGACAAAGGACAGTTTTTTTTTGTTTGTTTTTTTAATGAGGAAGAACTGATGGGTCTATTTGTCCTTACATTGAATGTGCAGACAGGAGTTGATTTCTAAACAGTGTTTTTTGGTGATTTATATGATACTGTATGACATACATGATATATAATTACTTATAAAATTTCAAAATTTCAGGACATTCTAGGGGCATTGTGTGTGACTCCTCTCAGCTCAGGCTGGTGTATATATGTAATTACATAATTTCAGGACATTCTAGGGGCATTGTGTGTGACTCCTCTCAGCTCAGGCTGGTGTATATATGTAATTACATAATTTCAGGACATTCTAGGGGCATTGTGTGTGACTCCTCTCAGCTCAGGCTGGTGTATATATGTAATTACATAATTTCAGGACATTCTAGGGGCATTGTGTGTGACTCCTCTCAGCTCAGGCTGGTGTATATATGTAATTATATAATTTCAGGACATTCTAGGGGCATTGTGTGTGACTCCTCTCAGCTCAGGCTGGTGTATTGGAGGTTGTAACTGGCTGATACAATCTGCACACGAGAAGGTAGGGGTCTGCATGCATGCACACACGCACACTAACATACATACACACACATATGAGCTTGCACGTGCACACACATACATACACACAATACATATATATTTTTTTCTTGGATATTGAGGAAAATTGTTGTACTAAAATGTTAATATCATTAATTGTGAATACATAGATTATTGCTTTGAGCATATAGCCTGCTCAGTATTTGTGAAATTAATGTTTGGTTTGTTTTCCAGATCTGTTACGTGGCAGGTTCCTCAACGTTGACAACATTTTCCAAGGTAGGTCACTGCTTTTACTTTTGATTTAGAATACTTTTCTTGATTCAGAATATTGTTCTGCTTTAGCTTGTGTACATTAATGTATACCATAGAATGTTTGTGCTTGTGTGTGTTGTATATCCAGTCTTGAGATTACTCTTCAATGAAATGTATTTAACAATGCAAATATTCCATGTACCCCTGTTTACCATTATGGCTGCTGTTGTAATAAATACTATGTTTGTTTTCTCCATAATGTCAGCCTGTAGACCACACTGCACTGAAAAATGCGGACCTCATCATCTTATCTCAGTTGACACAGACGCCACACNTGTGTGACTCCTCTCAGCTCAGGCTGGTGTATTGGAGGTTGTAACTGGCTGATACAATCTGCACACGAGAAGGTAGGGGTCTGCATGCATGCACACACGCACACTAACATACATACACACACATATGAGCTTGCACGTGCACACACATACATACACACAATACATATATATTTTTTTCTTGGATATTGAGGAAAATTGTTGTACTAAAATGTTAATATCATTAATTGTGAATACATAGATTCCTGCTTTGAGCATATAGCCAACTCAGTATTTGTGAAATTAATGTTTGGTTTGTTTTCCAGATCTGTTACGTGGCAGGTTCCTCAACGTTGACAACATTTTCCAAGGTAGGTCACTGCTTTTACTTTTGATTTAGAATACTTTTCTTGATTCAGAATATTGTTCTGCTTTAGCTTGCAGTGATTGCGAAAGCCGTCGGACCACGGCCATATGCCGGCAAAAATTCTGTGGGCTGGAAAACCCTTATAACTCATCGGCCCACATGACCGAAGGACTAAAGTTGATTTCTTTTACAGACACCGACTCATATCTGAATTTATCGTAAAGCTCTGAGTACGCACTAGGCGCAAGTAAAATTTTAACCTGCGCCATACTGGAGCGTACAAATACATGTAGCAAACACTATTTTTTGTAATAAAGATCTCCATACGTTATGATGTCGCTCGAAGTGCGCATAGAGATGCCGTCAGGGCTGACATGTGACCCGTTTCACAAAAAAAATTATCGAAACTGAAACAACTACAGGTCAATGAAAAACGTACTGCTCAAGACACTGAAAACAGGCCGCTCAAACTGCTTACGACAGGCCGCGCACGGACCTCTGAGAACACCTAACTACATGTGCTGGGTAAACAAATATGGCTTCCGTCGCACCGCATGTTGAGTAACCGATAAGTGAAAAAGAGAAATATTCATTTGCTTTTTAGATGGGTGCTCTTAACTAATTTTAATGGATATTTTAAGTAATATTGCATCTTTAGCGGCGCTATATGTCAAAATGAAGGACAACATCATTTTCAGTGCGGAAAATTTGCAATGGCACAGTCAGGATGCAAAACTGTCTATTAATTCATCTAAACGAACTAGCTTAGCCTTAGATATTGAATAAAAATTATTTTCAGACTCTGGCCCGTAGCCAGGAATTGTTCAATTACAAAAAATAGTTCGAAAGAATCGCCCCTTTTGCTGACAAAAGGTTCACCCTTGGTAAAATTTGATCTAGGTACATGACGTTTTTATGGAAAAAAGACCCCCCCCCCTTTTAAAATTGCCGACTACGGGCCTGCTATGAGAGCAATGGCTTTTTTTTACAATAAGAATGGGAATTGTCTACCTTTTCCATGTAGTGCAATTATTTATTCTGAAAGATTTTTCCATTAAGTACAATTTTTTGGACAGTACAATTGTTAATTTTGGAAGATTTTTCCATACACTACAATTATTTAGGACTTCAGAGTAGAAGCATCAAGTTTTTTATTGTTTTTAATCATATAAAAATATTGAAATATAATGAATTTTCTCTAAATAATTCACGGCACACATTTTTTAAAAATGGCCCAATTTCTTTTTTTACCAAGTGGGCCAAAATGGCCCAACCAGATTTTGACCCAGGACGATCCCTGCTAACAGACAAGCATTTTTCCAATAGTGAAAATCTAAAAAAAAGTTAGAAAAGTTGGAAGCTCCACTTTACTATGACTTATATTTTAATTTTAGGCAAAAATTGGAAAAGAAATTTACAAAGGATACAAGATCTTGTGTTAAAAGATTAGAAATTAAGATAAGCAACCCAGATGTAAAAAGGATAAAACTTAAATGCCAGAAAGCATCCAAAATGAAGGATGTTTAAACTTAAATCTCAAATATTCTATTATATCTGGCCTGAAAATTGAAAAAGCACCGATTTAAAATGCCAGGCAATAACATTCATCAAAAATGAAATGAAAATATACAGCTTGATTATTTTATTGTGGGCCGGTAAAAAAAGGTGTGGGCTGACAAAATTTAGTTTGCTCCAGCCCACATGTCTGGTAAGTGTTCAATCTCTTTCGCAACCACTGAAGGCTTGTGTACATTAATGTATACCATAGAATGTTTGTGCTTGTGTGTGTTGTATATCCAGTCTTGAGATTACTCTTCAATGAAATGTATTTAACAATGCAAATATTCCATGTACCCCTGTTTACCATTATGGCTGCTGTTGTAATAAATACTATGTTTGTTTTCTCCATAATGTCAGCCTGTAGACCACACTGCACTGAAAAATGCCGACCTCATCATCTTATCTCAGTTGACACAGACGCCACATGTCAATCCAGACTCCATGATAGGAGAGTTCTGCCTCAACGCTGGTATGAAGATTTGTTTGGTTATTTTCAGAGAAATCTTTCATACTTTTACAGTTTAAAATTTTCCAATGAGTGCTTAATTTTTTCTACATTTTGAATGTTCTTGGTGATTTTCTCAGTAATGTTACCTAAGATTGTTAACAGTGTTTTAGTAATTATGCTCTATATTGATGTGATCTTGCTATCTTGCTGCTTTAATGTGATCTTGCTATTTCAGCTCTGACTGTTAAGAAAGGAGGCAATGTTCTGGTTCCTGTGTACCCAGCTGGTGTGACCTATGACCTCTTTGAATGCCTCTCTGTCCACATGGAGAGCTGTGGTCTGGCAGGTGTCCCCATGTATTTTATCTCCCCTGTAGCTGACAGCAGTCTGGCATATTCTAATATCTTTGCTGAGTGGTAAGTTAACTGTGGACTGACAGGTGTCCCCATGTATTTTATCTCCCCTGTAGCTGACAGCAGTCTGGCATATTCTAATATCTTTGCTGAGTGGTAAGTTAACTGTGGACTGGCAGGTGTCCCCATGTATTTTATCTCCCCTGTAGCTGACAGCAGCCTGGCATATTCTAATATCTTTGCTGAGTGTTGAGAAAGTCATCTCATACACTTAAGCAATTGCTGACAGTGATTCCATGTTGATAGTTCTTAAGAAAATTTTATTCACTTCAAACCAAATCAAATACTTGAATATTTGACTTTTTGATACAGGAACTACAGTAATGATCAGTGCAATGTGTAGATCTGATGAATGTGAAAATAAGCAGATATATACAAACCATAATTGAACACTTTACACTCCCAGGCTCTCAGACAGTAAACAATCCAAGGTGTACCTTCCAGAGCCACCCTTTCCACATGCAGAGGTAAGCAAATCAACATGAACTGTTGTACACATTATATGGGCTGTCCTTCTCAAATGTAACTTATAGCTGAGTTGATTTAATTAAATATCTAATATCCAGGAAATCTTCCAAATCCTGAGAGCTAAACTGTTTTTCTGATTGCATTGTTTACTAACAGTAACAATATATTCCTTTTGCTTCCACTTCCCTTTGCACCCTCTCTCTCTGCTAACATTGAAACTCTTTCTGTATTACTGCATTAACCATGATTGGTTGAGAGGCTAAGTACAAAGTCTTTCTCTTTTTAATGTCTCACAAAATTTTAGACGTTTTCAAATAGTGGCTTTTCTGGGCAAAGCTCAACTCTTTCTCTGCAAATAAAAATGTTTGAGGATTTGAAGATCTGTAGATTTTAGAAATACCACATCTCCACTGATGTTAGAACTACGTGCATATTGGTCAATCTGAGCAGAGCTGTTGCACATCAACATTTGGTCACCTCTCTTCGTAATTAAATCATTAAGGGAAAGTGTGGTTTGAAATCAGATAATGAAAATGTAGCTCAGTAATTTATTCTCTTTCCAGTTGATAAGTGCTGGCAGACTGCGGCATTACCCTAGTATACATGGTGAGTGGGGACACTTTATATATGTAGCAAACAATTTTTGTTTGTGTGTTTGCATTTCTTCAAAAGATTTTGGTGTCTCAAAACTGGTTTCAATAAATATTATTAAGCAAAACAGAAGTTTAGAAGTCATGTGTTTTACTTGACTTCAGTAAAGACTTCAAGACTCCCTGTGTAGTATTTACAAGACATCCACCTTTGGGATTTGATGTAATAATATTTTGTGTTTTGAGATTTGATGTAATAATATTTTGTGTTTTAGGTGACTTCAGTAAAGACTTCAAGACTCCCTGTGTAGTATTCACAGGACACCCATCTTTGAGATTTGGAGATGTTGTTCATTTTATTGAAATGTGGGGAAAGACCAGTGCAAATGCCATCATATTTACTGGTAGGTGAAAATCTCTTGTTTATGTGTACTATGTGAAAGTGGTGATGATGAGGAAAATAGTTACCTAATCATTATGTTTAAAATGTCTCCATGGATATGTAATCATTATGTTTAAAATGTCTCCATGGATATATAATGAGCATGTCAAACATACCGATGACTCCCCAGATGGTTTCTTAGATGTGGATTTTGTGTGGCAATTATTAAGCTAAAAGTTTTTATTAGGAAAATCTTTGTGTTTACGGGATAAAGGTTGTATAAAAGTAGTGCAGAGTTAAAGTCATGAAATTTGTTAAATTAAATTTTTTTTTCTTTTTCAGAGCCAGATTTCTACTACCTAGATGCTCTGGCCCCCTACCAACCCCTGGCTATGAAGGTAGGGACAGGCCAAAGATTGGGATCAGCAATTTTAAGAATGAATAGATCAATAAATAAATTAATAAGATAAATAGATGATTATGTTAATAAAATGTAAGATAATAACGATAATAATTCATTGATGTATGATTTATTCCAGGTTCTTTGCTGCCCTATAGACACCAGTCTCAACTTCTCCCAGACTAACAAGTTGATCAAGGATCTCAAGCCACAGCATTTTGTAATCTCAGAGACGTACACACGCCCCCCTCCTCTGTATCCACATAGAACTGACCTTGTGGTGGACCCAGTAAGTATACACAACCCATAGGTAATTGGCCCAAAATCCTAAGGATTCCTGTAGCACAAGTCCTAGATAGGAATCCTGTAGGATATATCATAGACTTTCTAAAGAATCCTGTAGGATTTCTATAAAATCCAATAGAAGTCTTATATTGGTAAGGGGTTAGACTTGAACTTTACTGGTGTCATTAATCCCTGTAATAATTGTGGTAATGATGAGAACTTAATTCTTATTTAATTGTAATTATTTACTATCTGTATATAACCTATATATTATGTTTTGTCTCAGGACCTGCAGGTGATGACATATAAACCAGGAGAGGTGCTCACTCTTCCTATCAGGAGAAAGTTTATAATTATTTACTATCTGTATATAACCTATATATTATGTTTTGTCTCAGGACCTGCAAGTGATGACATATAAACCGGGAGAGGTGCTAACTCTTCCCATCAGGAGAAAGTTTGAGCAGATCAACATTGACCCAGAGGTGAGATGACATTATTGTAGTTGTCATAGAAACCTTATGTCAAGTAATTTATGTCCTTTCAGAGAGATTATAGTATTCCTTGTTTTGATTTAAACTAATATGGATATCATAAACAACCCCATATATAAATATATACATCTTGTCATCCGATTGAACTGTAAAATTGTATTGATGGAAATTGACCCAGTCTTTTTATCATGGCAGCTGGCAGGCTCACTGATGCCTATAGAAGTGAGACCAGGAGTCTCTGTTGCCATGGTAACTGGAAGCCTTGTTACCAGGGACAACCAGCACACACTGAAGGTAAGCAGGGGAATGCTAGTGGAGTGTTTCATGCATAGTTTGTGTTTTAATTCTGTCACCTGACTGTTCACAGTGTTTGGTGGTGGTTGTGGAACCAGATCAGGATGTGCAGCTGTGGGAACCCCTTTTGCAATAACTGGTGTTGTATTGGGGGTTACAGCTTTTATTTCTGGTATTTGTATGGTCGAGATAGAACTTGCTATGGTGGTCTTGTATTGAGTGCTGTAGCTTGGATTTCTAAATTTTGTTTGGTTGTGATTTCATCAAGTGACTACCATTGTTTATGTTGGCCATTTTTGTCATTGCCAGTTAATAAATATACCAAGGGAAAAAGTAATGAGGTCTTGTTTATTTGTCTTATTTAACATGCCATATTTTTTTCTGGGTGAAGTTTTAAACCATACAATTCAGTAAAGATCAGTAGGTTGTTCTAGAGATTCAGAATTATGAAATGTACCCCAGGAAAGACACTGAGACAGTAAGTGTATCCAGAATAGTAGACTAACAGATCTGTAGATCAAATATGGCGACCCACTTAAAAACTTGCTGCTTAAATCCCCTAACAGACACTGTTTAGATCTCCTGCGGGGATTCTGCAACAAGCATTCAAGTGGGTCAGCTATATTTGACCTGCAGATCTGCTAGCTCCCTGTTCTGAATGAGGCCTGTGTTTTCCTTCAGCCCCTGCAGACGTCTGGTCTGAAGAGAAAACTTGAGACCAGCTCTGACAGGAAGAGGAGAAGTTATTTCTGGGGAGCCCTGGATGTGCAGGAGTTTGTTGATAAGTTAAACAAGGTAAGGTGTTGTAACGGAGTGGTATTGTGTTGTTTGTAGACAAAATTGTACAAAATGAAGCTGCCATCGGTAATTGTATTGAATGAAATTGTGGTCTATGTCACATTTGGCAAATGAAAGATATGTTTGTAAGAGAGACATTGAACAAGGCCTGGTTAAAATGGATAAGGGGGGGGGAGGATGTAGAAAGCCTCATATTCTGGTGAGGGTAATGAGTCAAGACTTCCATTCTTCTATTATAATAATAAAATACTAATGATAATTTTTTTCTTTGTTAAACATACTGTATGTTAATTTCAAGCTGTCTCAAGTTTTGTGTGTGTAATGTTGTAGGAAGGTCTGACAGATGTCAAGGTAGAAGACAGTGCTGAGGGACATATAGTCCACCTGGTAAGATACAGACCTAGGATTAGAACGTGTGATCTCTTTGATGAAATGCAGGCTCCTCTTAATACAGTAAAACCACAGGGTCTTGTCACTGATGTCTGATACACAGCAGAGGAAAATACAACACATGGCATTTGACCATCAGAGGAGCATGAAGAACATCAGTGGAGAGGCCTTGTGGGAACATACAGATATCTTGTTCTGAGTTTAGGCACTTAATTGACATGAAATTTTATGTAATTGAGCCTCTGAATTTACAAAAAAATGTATAATAAGTTACTATTTTTGAAAGGAACAGAAAAGAAACCAAAAGAAAATTTGCAAAGATATTCCTGTTTATACCACAGTGTGCTAGTAACTGGAGATCAAACATTGAAGTAATCAGACTGAGTGTGAAATGTTGATAATAGATTCATATATTCTCTGTGTTTCAGCCAAATGAAGACACCCTTATACAGTTGGAAGAGGGATCAACACACATCATATGTGAAGGCAATGAAGGACTGAGAGTGAAACTTAAAGATATACTACTACAGTGTTTGAATAGACTATAGCAAGTGTATAAAGATATACTACTACAATGTTTGAATAGACTATAGCAAGTGTATAAAGATATACTACTACAGTGCTATAATAAAATGTAGCAAGTGTTTGTATGATTTGTCTACACGTAAGCTATCTGAACAAGCCCAGAGAGGAGAAAGGCTTTAGTTCTGAGTGAGCAATGATGGGATGAGTATAAGACCGCATTCACATTGAGTTGAGCCATGGCTCTACAAAGCCACAAACTAAATATGGCGGACGTACATAAATGAAAAACGCCTAATCTTTTAATAGTCTCTCTGACTCTCACACGCCTCCCCATGCGTCGTCCCTGCGG